TGGAACATAACCTGCTCGGTAGCAGGTTATCTTCAGAGAGTAAGCTGCTATGGTTACGTACATACCCAGAAAGTTAACCTCCGTTTTTGGAACCGAAAGTTGAGGTTATCCACTAACTTACCCTTAAACTTACCTGGGTATGTCACATAACCTGCTTTCTGGAATACCCCCCAGTGGCCTGTGCTACGAAGCGGGGTTACTGGCTTATCGGGGTAACTTGTCGGATTTAAGGTACAGCAGTTTAAATGGACTTCATATTCGTTCACTTACATTTTGCCCAGGCTACCCTAAATCCGGCAAGTTACCCCGATAAGCCAGTAACCCCCCTTTGTAGCACAGGCCACAGGAGTCGGCAACCTGCGGCTTGCGAGCTACATGCGGCTCTTTGACCACGTGACTGCGGCTTTTCTCAGAACGATAGCCGCATTCACATTTTCATATCTTAATATCATTATATATGATAATACTTTCGTAAAGATAAATTATTTATTTATGCACTGTAAAAAAAAATTCCGTCAAAAAACGGAAAATGTACTGGCAGAAAATTACCGGCACGTTTTCCGTTAAGTTAACGTACTCTTCCTTCAAGTCTCTAGGAAAATATTGTAAATTTACAGTTTTCCACAGTTTGTTGTTCCGAGGAATATTTCTTAAATAATAATTTATTTTCATTTTTAATTCTTTATTCTGCCAATGCAGATTTGTTTGTTTAATAAATGGTGTTGTTCACAAAACTACACAAAGTACTTTGAGAACATAGTAATTCACTATATTCATTATTTTTCATGGCTCAAGGGCCATTTGTTAGACTGCACAACATAATTTAGCAGGACTGAAAGAAGGTGAGAGCTCCCCTAGTGGCTATGGGAGTGCATTTCCATAGAACAGATATTATGTGTGGCAGCCTCATTGCTTTTAGATCACAAGTTGGGATAGAAGAACAAATCAAATCAATTTGCTCATTTAATATTTAAATTTTTATTAGGCTTGAGTTTTGGAAGGCCATATTTAGAAACCCACCTCAACTGAAAATGGAATGGCACAAATATTAGTCTCTCCCATGTATTATTAGATACATGGGATAGATTATTGCTGGTTTAAATCCTGTGAATGCCAGGAATAGTTCTGCTCTGTTAGGTTCTTGAGCAAATGCTCAATCTTGTTGATGTTAATCTTCATCCCGCATAGTAGGGAAGTTTAACATACAGGGAAAAATAGGAGTCAGTGGCAGGATTAACACTCCAGCCACTAGAAATAAACTCACACTGGTCTGTTGGGACATATGTAGTTCTTGTGCCTGAGATGGTTTGTTATGTAGAGGGTGCAGCAATATTGGAGCAGGAAAACAAGCATTGAGGAGGAGTTCTTTTTCATTCCATGCACATCTTTAGGGCTGCCACCCAACAAGTCCTCTCCATGGAACGCAAAGCAATAGATCCTACTAGGATCCACTGCTGTGGCAGAGTATTATAGTCAGGTACATTGCAATTCATTCCACTTGAAAAATTACAACTTAAACCAAGTCACAGTAAGTGTGTGGCTCAGTAACCTATATACTTGGGGTTGTAATCCAAAGGTTGCTGATTCAAATCCTGCTTCAGCTGAAAAGCTGCATGTTTATGGGCCCTTGAGCCATGAAAAATAACACTGGTATAGAGTGATTTTGGTGCCAATGATGTTGGTTTTATATTAAGTATATGGTGCTGATTAAGAATATGACTTTGGTTTTGCTAGATTGGCTCTAGTTTATGAGATATTTAATATTTCATTAATTAACGCAACACGTTTGAAAAGCATTCAGAATTGCAAGAATATTTTTATTTTAGTTACAACTAGTAAGTAAACAGTCTAACATCATACAAAAAAGAAATTAAAAATATCTAACAGTGACAGGAAAAAGCTATGTATGATTTCATTAAATAATACAATATTAATTAGTTATTAATTGTTATTAATGTCAATGCTTCAAAAAAAAAGTACTGTGGCTGGTTGAAAAAGACGACTAATGTCTACGAAGCGTGATGCAACCTTTGTAAAAAATGTCATCAAACTGGCAACAATGGGCTCTAAAGCCATCGACTCACATATCAGGGGAGAGAAGCACAAGCGTTTTGTCGAAAGTCGGACAACAACTGTCCCCATTCAGTTGTTTGCCAGTCCTGCAAGTACAACCTCTACAGATGGGCCTACACCCGCTTTGGCAGTGTCTCCGGATCCCACGACAAGCAATGCCTTCAGTACATTCTCCTCAACCGACACACTGAAAGCAGAAGTGCTATGGGCTTTGCAAACGGTTAGCCGAAATCACTCCTATACTGTACGTCCAATGATGACATTCACACTGTGGTGAGCAATTTGCTGAGACACAATTAGTAATTGTGAGAAGTTGTGGCCTACATACCCTTCACAACTCATTCAACACTGGTTTGAAAGTGTGGATGGTGGAGAAGGTGCTCAAAGCACTACATTTTCTTTTCCACTCTGTACCAGCCAGAAGAGAGGACTTCACAGCTGCAACATCATCCTTAAGATTCCTTCTACCTTTCTGTGGCCATCGGTGGCTCGAAAATTTTCCAGCTGTCGAATGAGCATTGGAAGTCTGGCCCTCTATTGTGAAATATGTGGACTTGGTGAAGTCAAAATAGGTGAAAAACCCAGGGACATCTTTTGACTGCATTTGTGAAGCCCGAATGGATCCCCTTCTTCTGACCAAACTACCGGCAAAAGTGACCCCAAAGACACTCTGGCGGAGTTACTTATTCTTGAAAACTGTCATTTAACTGTTTACTTGGCGGAGTTTTTGGCAATAAGCCAGGACAGGATCAGCCAGTGGTGGCTTCGCTCATGCGCAATTCATTTGCAGTCTGGACGCGGAAAGGTGAACATTTCCTGCTCTGACTGCAGCTGGGCGGGGCTGCTGCGCGAGGACTGTCCACCTGTGAGCGCCTTGTGACGGGAGCCCACGGCAGCATCCGCTGCTCGGTGAGAAGAGTAAGAACGATACGTGCTTCCACGTCAGAGTCTCTAAAAGTCTCCAATAACACTAGAAAAAGTCGCTAGATTTGTCGCTAGTCGCTTTTTTGAAAACGAGTCACCAGAGAGGTCTAAAAACTCGCTAAATATAGCGACAAAGTCGCTAAGTTGGCAACATTGCTGTCGTGTTAGTCCTACAGTCAAAATTCTTTTTTCTACAAATACAGATACACATAGCCATGCCCTACCAACTTGCCATTTGGACTATGAAGCTCCGCATACTTAGATTGTTTGCTAATTTGCATAATTTGCAAAACTTACTTCTGCCTTAAGGTCCTACACTGTCCGACCAAATCAGACAAATGAGGTGTCAAATTAGCCAGTCCTCTGAGCTGATCAAGAGACATTGAAATAAGTCTGACGTTTTTCTGTCGTTCGACCACTAGCCACGCCCAAATCCTGCCTAAATTTGGCCTGTTTTAGTCGGACATTGAAATTTAAAATCCTACCTCCGTGCACCATTCTGGGACTCGATCCAAGGTGGGCCACATTTCGTCAATAGGGGGCAAGCCTGAGGTCAGATCCATAATATGGCAGTCATAAGTCATGAAATGCTGGCCACCATCAGCCAATCAAAATCATTCTGGTAGCAGGTCAATCAGGACACTGCCCTTATGGATGACTCATAAAAAAGCTTGACCTGCCTGCACATTATGGCCACCAGCCACAGCCAACCTGCACCACTTCCATGCCCAATTCATTCAATCAGCTTAATCTCAGCCATGCTTCAGCCAATCATCACCAAATGTGACCCACTAATGTAGCACTGGACCACAGACAGACCCCCCAACTTTGGTGCCGATCGGTCAAATGGGGGCGCTACGGGCAATGTGCATATGCGTCTAAGACCCACCTTTGCTAATTAAAATGAAATATCCTTATTTCTCATAAACCTTTAAAGAATACCTTTCCCTTCACCTAAGTTCACATTTTAATTTCTTTTCATTTTTCTGCCATTTGTCTCATAGAAAATTAACAGACTTCATTTATAAGCCAGGGAGAATATATTGCAGATTTTTGGATTTTTTTAAATAAATTGGCCAGCAGGTGGAGTCAGTGCCCTATTTCATAAATGCTACTCCGTTAATACCATTCAAAAAACTTTCAAGCGTTATCATGTCTAAATGAACAGCCTAGAAAAGGACAAAGCATGATATTACTACTGTTACATGCAGCAGTCCCCCAACTCAGCACTGTTGTTAATGTGCAACACAGCCTATGTTCACACAGCCAGTACAAACAAACTTCAACTTGTAAGATCTAAATTTACCATATCAGGTAGGAAGGTGCCTATTTCTACCTACTACTCAGACCATCAGTCCCACATCAAACAGGCTCAGGCACTGCACCAGATGGTTCTACATTCTGTCCTACATCTACTGACCTGTTAGACCGACACTCAACAATCTCCATCCTGATTTCTACATAATCGGACCACCTCACCCAGACCAGTCTTGTTCTGTTCGACATCTGCTGACCCGTCAGGCCTCAGAAATCTCCGTCCTGTTACAGGACTATGTAGTTCTGTCTGACTTTTTAGTCCCTGGGTTAGGCTGCAGGCCCCTGACCAGGATGGCAGTTTGGAAAATGTATAATAACAAAAATAATAATAATGATAATAATGATAATAATAATAATAATTATTATTATTATTATTATCATCATCGTTGTTATTATTATTGTTATTATTATAAGTTCTATAAGGCTTCCCATTGTCTTCTCTTGTGTTCGTCTTCTTTGTTTTCACACTTCTCTGCCTGGTTATTTTCATTCGCCTCTCATTAATAATAATTAAACAACATTCTCCCCATTGTGATACTTCTGCTTGATTATTCTCTTGCACCTTAGTCTTAGGTTTACATATAAGTACGCTCATACAGTAATAAGAATAATTTAATTATTCAATAAGAGGACAGAACGGATTTTTTCCCCATCTATAATATTCTAAAAACATTTTTGAGCGCTTCCCCATTGCGAAAATCAATCTGTACCAAATGTAATGGACAACGATGGACGGATAATAACGGATGGAATTTTATTCGTTTTATTTAAAAAATATGGGATCATCCATTACATTTTAACTCTAAATTAATATTTGCGAGTAAACATAATTCATATTCCTGCAAGCAGACCACCAAGATAACCGAGCAGGATTTGATGGGAAATGGCAAAACTGGGGGAGGGTGGGGGAGGGTTTTTTTCTTTAACTTAACTTCTTTTTGCAAGGGAAGTAAGTTACAAGGGCTTACCACGTCTGCAACCGAGAGGGAGCAAGAGAGAAGCGAATGAAAATAACCAAGCAGAGAAGTGGGAAAACAAAGAAAACGAACGTAACAGAAGACAATAGGTGGCCTAATAGAATATTTAAGTACAGTTTTATAGTATTGCACAACCGTCATTTACCTTTTATAGAAGAAAATCGTGTTTTAAAGAACCGTTTTACAACTCTCGACCGTTCTTATTCTTAGCCTGTCTTATTAATGCTTGGAGCGTTATAATCTTTATCATTTAGTTTTTTTTTGTTTTTGTCCGAGAATTTTTGTTATGTTTTGACAAAATACGGAAAAGTGGACAATAGAGGGCAGCTTTAGAAGAAGTGATCTAAAGAGATAGAAAACGTCTTTTGTGCTTGTGTTGCTGGTATGTTCTCAGCAATGGTGCTCCAGGTCCAGACGTTGCTGCTCACGCTAACATACGGACTATGCGCTAACGGAGCAGCCACGCAGCAAGACCCCAACCCAGAGGTCAGTTCTGCTCCTTTCCTTCGCATGCATGAAAGACCCAAATAGTTTACACTAAAAGAAACATGATCTATTGTACTTTAAGTGTGTGTGATAGTTAGCATTTTTGTTTCAGATTATAAGACGGAAAATATATCAGAAGACAGCAAAACGTGGAAAAGTGTAGGCAAGAGATGCAACGCTCTGTCAATACACAGAAAAGATAGAAAAACAAAATTTTCAGACATGCATTAGGGCCTTTGCATCCATGATGATGTTGGGCTTCTGTGCCATGCGTGAGCTGCTATGGCATTCGTGGCAGCACATTTCAGGCTATATTTATGTGTGAGCTGAGAACTTGCTTATTTATAGCACTTCTTATTTTCTTATTAATTTTATGTTATATACCTATAGGTAACACCCCAGTGTGACTTTCTATTTACCTTGATTAAACAGTGATTTTGCGCTATGGCGGCGAGTCATCTTTCAAGCATAGTCTCTTAACCCTTTTTGTGAGTGAAATAATGGTAAATCAAACAGTGAGAACGGAAATTCTCAACAACTTCTAAAACTTTGGGAGAAAATGGGTTATGGTCCCGTGGGTGAGGTTTGGAAGAAATTGTTTTTTTTTTTTTTTTTAAGAACTGAGGACCAGACAGTATAATATCCTGTCAGGCTTCAGGGAACAATTTAAAATTCTCCCCCTGGTGCCTTTATGAGCTGTTGCTCCAGATGTTCATCCCTTTTGGGTGAAGAAAAGCCTGCCTGAAATAAATACCCAATGGTCAAATGGAAGTCTCCTGTCCATCTTGTGTGACCATCCTGGGCTAAGTGCCTCTACTCACAGCTCCCTTTCACTCAACCTGCTGGCCACATGATCTTGTGGGGGGGGGGGGGTCCAGAAAATGACTGCTCAGGGTCTGGGGCCCCTGCTTGGTCCTTGCTTGGCTTAGCTAGCCCCTAAAACATGAGAGTGCTGTTTACATCGTCCTCCGAATAGCTCTGCTGGACAAACACAACGCTGTCCGCCTTGGCCAAGTCTTCCAGGCTTCATTCTTATGACTCAAAGTTCGCGGATTGAGTTGTGAAATTTCTTGGCTTGTTTTTTGATGTTTTTGTTGGACTGATGCTGCAGTTCTGTTTTCTGATGCTCTGAGTGTTTCCATCTGTAAATGTGTATCTAGGAAGGTGACTTCCTGACTGACATTACTGGACTGGGTGGATGTAATACATACACACACAAAACACACATACAGACACACATACGCGTATGTATATGTATATTATTATTATTGTTCTTTTAGATATAAGAGGGTTTTTTTCTGCTTTGGTGGGTATGAGTCAAGTCCTAAGGTACTCTAGGGTCATTCCCCGCTTCCTATGAAGGCCAACATCCAAGGTGCTGGGCCTGTTTGCGTACTAACAGGACACTGTATTGACCTCACACCAGTACTGTGACCCCCTTGGCACCATCAACACTGATCTCCAATCAGTTATATAACTGGGCTACTCATTTGGAAGAACATATAAATGTTCTTGTTATTAGCAGAATGGAATGAGCCAATGATGAAAGAAGGGAATGGAGTGTCACTGTCACTGTGTTAGAAAGCTGAGCTACAGTGGAGTTAGAGCTTTGCGCCTTTCATCAGGGAAGAGCATATCACACGTAAGTGTTACTCGGAATTGGGAGTGTCAGTGCTGGAGGTTTGGGGCGTTTGTAGCGGAGTGCATGACATTGGGCTGGAGTCCTGCATTTACTGCTGCCAGGATATCAGTAGGTGTTGCATGTGGTCATGGGTGTAAATTTTGGGAGGTGGGTAATCAAAACCAGCCAAACAACCCCCTGGACCTCTTTAAAAGGATGGAGACGTCAACACCCCCAATGTTCAACTCAGAGTTATGCCATTGCACCTAACCCATGGCAGGGCGACACCATGAGCTACTACAGGTCTTACAAACTTCCTTAAAGATGAAAGGGTCCTGTGCTTGGCTAAGTAGTTTAGTTCTTCTTGTACTTTGACTAGTTTGTTTCCTTGTTTGAAAGACTCACCCAGCTGCTTTTCATTAACATTAGTGACACATGCATGAGTATAGGAGACTGACCAATCAGCACAGCAAGAACACAAGCGCTTAAGTGAAATCCAGGTCTTTTTAATTGAAATAGTAGTTGGTAAGCCCTGTCCTAGCTCATAGTGCTCCCCCCCCGACATAGATTAAGTGGTCATCCCAGTGCCGCAGCGGAGACCAGCAGCGGCACCAGATACCACTATAAACATAACTGTAAGAAGCCTAATTAGGCATAAATGTAGTAGTGAATGCACAGCCATCAGCATACGTAATAAAGAATAAATGCAAATAAAATCCATTAACTAGCTACTAGTGTAAGTGGGTCACCAACAGTAACTGCTGAAGGCTCATGCTGAGCTTTAGTCCCTGCTGGGTCAAGCCACTGTTGACCAGAATTCTCTGGTTTTTCCATTGGCACAGAGTGAAAGGAACAACCGAGTCAGGCGTTTTCTCCCTCTACCACTTTCCCACTTTCCTTCTTGCCTCATTTGTTTCTCTGGTTTTCTTTTTATCTTTCATTCAATTTTCATCTTTCCTGCCATCTTTTCACCCTTCACTTATTTGGACCAATGGCTCAATTTGCTGAAAAGGTTGTGCGCCATCACAAACCCAGGCCAAATGAGCTCTTTAGACAACATCTTTCATGAAGTCTGTTATTTTTTTCTACTCATTGACTGAGGCAGCAGCTGGAAGGTGCTCAGAGTTCAGGGTTATGGCTTCGCCTCCGTGGGCTTGACCAAGAATGTTCCTACGACACTACATTTGCAGAGTCCCTTTGCAGTGTTGCTGCGGTGACCCATTCTGTGTGAGACCCTTAGCGAAGGTCACTCGCATCCTATTCAAACAGAGTGGCTCACGTGGAGCTGTGATCAGAGATGAGGCATCACAGAGCACCCCTGGCAGTCTGTCATCAACCCAACTTGTGCATGTTCAGCTGTTTAATCAGATTAGATACCATCGCTCACGTGGGTAAGCTGATTTTTGGGTAGGCTGATTTTTCAGGCAGGATTTCCAGGTAACTTCCTCTAATAACGTATCTTTCTTCTACTATATCCACCAGTAGATTTGTTTTCATCCGCTTCATCCTTTCGTGGATTTTTCTGTGCATCAGTAAATTTTGTGTTACTTGCTGCGCCCATGGATAGATTTTCATCCCACTCCTTCAGCTGCACGACGTGACAGTGCTGCTCATCAGAACGTTTGATAGAACTCTGGGCCTTTAAGAGATGGAGGCATTCTGAAAGTTCATGCTCCTGGAGTGGACTGTGGGTCTGAAAGCGTGGGGGACCTTACAGTGTGGGCAAAGCCTTCAGCCCATGTGGCAGCTAACAGAGAGGACTCTCAGAGCCCAGCGGAGACCCTGCGGTGCAGCCGCAGTATATGCACAGGGTACAGACTTCATTTAACAGCCTATAATTGGGCCTTGTTCTTAGACTCCCTCCCCTTCAGCTTCATCGGCTCGCTTCTCCTCTCTGGCTCCTGTAATAGTGGGTGGTCACATGGTTCTCTTACACTTTTAGCCTCCTCCTTGCCTTTTCCCTAGACCAATCCAACCCCCTCCCCCCTGAAATTGCTGTCATACCGATAATTTATACATGTCCATCTGTTCAGGTGAGAGGGCTGTGTTGTTGCATGCCATTTTTTACACATCTCTCTTAGTGACAGTCTTCTTCTTGAGTATGCTGTCAGTCTGCCCGAGCAGTGAGATGGAACTTGTCGACGAAGGGTTAAGTCTGACACCCAACCAAGGCTGTTAAGTGCAGACACTACCTCACAGGGAAGTACACAAATACACACACATATGCGTAAATTACAGTTAACAAACAAACACACACACGCACCCATTTTTTTTATTGACACACATACACTGAGTCACTGAGGGAGAAGAGAGAGGGGATTTTTGAGGTTTGAGGATTATAGAAAAATTCTCTATAATTTCACAGACTGTGTGGTTTAAAGCGAAACACTGATCGTCTGTACTTTAAACTGTTTAACACACAAACTAAGACTGATTTTAAGGGTGTAGAAACAGAAGGCTTTATCACACATTTAATACCTACAGATTTATATGCACCATGTTTGGTGTGTGCCTGATATTCCGATGAAGGCATTTTCGTGGGATGTGCTGTATGTTCTGCGGCTGATGGGTTTTAGGGTCTGGTAATTTTGTCTGGACTTTAACATAAAAGAATGTAAGCTTGTCCTCTTTGGCAGCACCATCTGAAGGGACTTTGCTGGTTTGTTTGGCCTGAAACAAGATTTCAGCACATAAATGTATGTAATTCTTGATGTAAAAACCCACCATGTGTTTGTTATTAGCTTAAATAGCTGTGGCAAAGAATGTCCTTAACTGCAAAGAATTAAATGTTGCTCTATCAAAACACTTATTCAGCTCTTCAGTAAATAGGTACTAGAATTTGATGTGCTCAAATGAACATGGAATTGAACAACTTTATTAACCATTGATAACGTTTTTTCCTTTAATTTTGTTTTTAATTTTATTTCTTAGAAATCGCACATAATTACGTAGATGAATTTAAATGACTTTTTAAGAAACCATGTGCACTTTCTTAAAGTAAGTAGCATAGCAAAAAATATTTCAGAGGTTCAGTAGAATCTTGCTGGCAGTTGTGGGCAAATGTAAGCACTTTTATATTTTTTTCCTAAGGCTACCAAGGTCATGAAGTAGGTCTCCTTAAGTCTTGCCGTCAGACTTTGGTTTTCATAGACCAGAACTTATGATTGTTTCTCTTTTCACAATTTGCCACCTTCAGTTGTTCCCATGTCCCCTTCTGTCATTGCCTGTTAAATTATGCTCTCTGGCATTTCTGTTTGTAGTTGCTGACTTTGAGTCAAAGCTTCTCTAGTGTGATACAACTGAACTTTTCATACCTAAGTAAATAATGGAAAAAATCGTGCATGTCGTAAATCTCATGTTCTTTTATTCTAAGTCCCTATCAATGACAACAGAGTTTCAAATTGGAGAAAATTCATTCTTGGTTTGTATTACCACGACCCTGACTCGGATTGTTACGGAAAAGGGGTGGATGGATGGTTTGTATTAGTTTAGTAACTTAATTGTGATATCATACATTATTCCCAGCTCTCCTGGTATTAGTGTGGTTTAAAATCTTTCGGCTTCCGTTGGATGCTCACCTTTTCATTTTGGGAATCTTGTAGCTGTTTTATGTTCGTTGAGGTATGATGGCCTGCAGTGGATTGTAGGCTGTGTTGTTTTGGGAGGGGGGCCATGAATTACTGTGTGGTTGTGGACTGTGGCTGAGTGTCTTACTGCGATGTCCTCCCCCCCCAGGCTTGGCTACAGCAGTATGGTTACCTGCCCCCAGGTGACCTCCACGCCCAGTCCCTCCGCTCACCGCAGTCCATCACCCAGGCCATCGCCGCCATGCAGAGGTTCTATGGCCTGACGGTCACTGGGCACATGGACCCGAGCACCACTGCGTGAGTGCCCCCCCTATCTGCCCCACCCTTCCTGCCAGAAAGACATTCATACATCAGCAAAGAGCCAGACTACCACATCCTCTCTTGGGGTTTCTCAGAAGATATCATGCATATTTGGTTTAATGACTGGAGCCTTACAGCAGCTGGTATTCACATGAAATGACCTGTTAGAAACTGGGGAAACTAGTGGAAAAAAGTAGCAATTTGTACCTTAGCTTGTCACTGGGGCTGTACCCTCAAGGGTCTGCCAATTGTACCCTAGCTGTAGGTAATCATACCTTTTAAGGTACAGAAATGGACTCTGAGGTTCATCCCCAAGGTACAAGGTTTTTGTATCTTGGAAGGTACATTTACTATTGAGAGTACAGCCCAAGGGACAAGCAAAGGTACTAATTGGTACTCTTTTTTGCCGACAGTGTAGAAGCATGAAATTTTTTGGGAAGAAATGAAGGAATTCATTTTGTTGACATTTCCGTTTTGTTGTAACTGTTCTACGGGTCGCCAGGGCAATGAAGCGACCACGGTGTGGCGTCCCAGACAAGTTTGGCTCCGAGCTGAAGAGCAACCTGAGGAGAAAACGCTACGTCATTCAGGGCCTGAAGTGGGACAAGAAGGAGATCACCTTCAGGTGGGCACATGACGTGACATCAGGGAGAAGCTTTTTGTGATTTTTTTTTATGTTCTTCCCAGCCCGAGAGACTGAGCATGTGGTACCCCATCCTTAGTTTTACACCAAAACTGAAATCCCTGTGCTGAGCCCTGTGATGTATCTCTGCCCTGGCAGCATACAGAACTACACCCCAAAGGTGGGCGAGGCAGAGACCTTCAGAGCCATCCGGCGGGCTTTCAAGGTGTGGGAGAGCGTGACCTCACTGCGCTTCCGCGAAATCCCTTTCAAGAACATCCGCGACAAGCCCGCCAACTTCGCTGACATCATGCTCTTCTTCGGCGAGGGTTTCCATGGCGACAGCACTCCCTTCGACGGGGAGGGAGGCTTCCTGGCACACGCGTACTTCCCCGGCCCAGGCATAGGGGGCGACACACACTTTGACGCCGCAGAGCCTTGGACCTCTGGCACCACAGACCAAGGGGGTGAGTGAAAAAGGGAGAAGAGCGAGGGGTGGATGAAAAAATGGAGAAGGGAGGGATCACCATAGGCTGAGGATGAAATTAGAGATAGGTAACGGCATTTGAGGAGTCAAGGTCTTGCCTGCACTTATAAAGTTTTGAAAAAGACAGGCTGGCTTCAACTTGCACTCTTTAAATCTTAGCCTCCAATCTGCTGTTAGCTAGAGCCCGTGTGTGCTTGTGAACACCCTGGAATGGGAAACGCCTGCTAGACTCAGCATGTGTTTGTTCACCTGCTTGTCTGCATGTCTCAACATCTCGGTGCCTTAAAATAATACAGCAACAAAGACTAACATTTTTTCTTGCGTTCATTTCCGGCTCTGATCGTGACGTCCTAATAGTAATAACCCATCCGCCTTCCCACCTGTCTTACAGGGTGAGCTTGCTCTTGGGCAGCGTGGGGAATAAGCCAAGTTAATAATAAAGAATAGTTTGGAAACAGGGTTTGCTTTTTCTTGGTCTTCACAAATGACCCCTGCTGGTTTTGACAGGGAATGACGTGTTCCTTGTGGCTGTGCATGAGCTGGGCCACGCCCTTGGTCTGGAGCACTCTGGGGACCCCAGTGCCATCATGGCGCCATTCTACCAGTGGATGGACACTGAGAATTTCATTCTACCGCTGGACGACCGTCGGGGCATCCAGCAGATCTACGGTGGGTGGACTCACCGGCTCCCCCCTCTGGCATTCTTATAGTGCTGCAGCAGCCATGGTAACTGCTCCTGATGGGTGGAACCCCTTATTAACTTAAGGAACATTATGCAGCCTTGTTCCTCTGAGATTAGACTGATTTTCTTCACTCTCTGAAGTCATCACAAAGAGTGATTTTGATGATGTTGTGATTTGCAGTGCTCTGATTGGCCAGGTGCCCCTTAGCTGAATAATGATATTAACTCTTTTGTGCTGAAACTCTTGTTGTCATCTGATTTATGTTTTTGTCAATTTCTGGCGCATATTATTACAACCCTACCCAATACCCAATTCACTCTGTTCCACAGGATCAGGTGGTGCACCTCCACCCCCCTCTCCCCCCCCAAGACCCCCCAAAAAACCAGACCCCCCCTCCCATGGCCCCAGTATCTGTGACGGCCACTTCGACAGCATTGCCATCTTGCGGGGAGAGATGTTTGTCTTTAAGGTAAAGAGCAGTAGCGCACTGAGATGCTGACACAGTGAAGCACTGATGGTCTGCGTGTGTTCGCCTTAATGAGCGATGCTGTCTGCCGCAGGATACATGGCTGTGGCGTGTGCATGATAACCAGGTTCTGCAAGGCTACCCCATGCCTATCGCACACTTCTGGCACGGACTGCCCGGATCCATCAATGCTGCATATGAGAGAACTGATGGAAAATTTGTCTTCTTTAAAGGTACCTTTGACTCTCATCTTGTGTTTTTTTGTGGTCACTGACCTGTGGACACTCTTTGAGAAGCATCTTCCATGCCTTACATTCTATAACACCTTGACAGCTGTAATATTTGCTGCACCATGGTGTCAATACACCACAGTCCTGCTAATGGCTGGGATCAGCTCTCATGTTGCGTCTGAGTCGCTGTCTCTCTGTTTGTGCCTCCAGGGGACAGGTACTGGGTATACAGTGAGTCCACCTTAGAGCAGGGCTACCCCAAGCCACTGAAGGACCTGGGCAGTGGTCTCCCCAAGGACAGGCTGGATGCGGCTCTCCTCTACACCCCCAATGGCATGACCTACTTCTTTAGGGGGACCAAGTGAGTCTCTCTGTCTAATCTATCCTATCTATCTAATCTATCTGTCTTTGCGTATCTATCTATGTCTGTCTGTCTGTCTGCTGTCTGGCCGTCTGTGTGTATTTGTGTCTGTCTGCCTATCTATCATACTTGCAAAACAGCAAGTGTAATCCCCACGCCATATTGTCACTTCTGCACAGCAAAATATCAGTTCTTGGTGCCTCATACAAATGATCTAATGTTTCAGTGCATATATGCAAATGATGTTGTACAATTGTCATCATTTGGCGCAATTTTCGCTTTAGTCTTGTGGGCCAGTATAGATTACATAGTTTCTCATTGTAATAATTATACACCCAGAACTATATACACTATATTGCCAAAAGTATTGGGACACCTGCCTTTACACACACATGAACTTTAATGACATCCCGTTCTTAATTCATAGGCTTTAATATGGAGTTGGCCCGCCCTTTGCAGCTATAACAGCTTCAACTCTTCTGGGAAGGCTGTCCACAAGGTTTAGGAGTGTGTTTATGGGAATTTTTGGCCATTCTTCCAGGAGAGCATTTGTGAGGTCAGGCACTGATGTTGGACATGAAGGCCTGGCTCACAGTCTCCACTCTAATTCATCCCAAAGGTGTTCTATCGGGTTGAGGTCAGGACTCTGTGCAGGCCAGTCAAGTTCTTCCACACCAGACTTATCCATGTCCTCACGGACCTTGCTTTGTGCGCTGGTATGCAGTCGTGTTGGAACAGGAAGGGGCCATCCCCAAACCGTTCCCACAAAGTGGGGAGCATGAAATTGCTTTGAATGCTGCAGCATTAAGATTCCTTTCGCTGAAACTAAGGGGCCAAATCCAACCCCTGAAAAACAGCCCCACACCATAATCCCTCCTCCACCAAACTTTACATTTGGTACAATGCAGCCCGGCAAATACCATTCTCCTGGCAACCGCCAAACCCAGACTTGTCCGTCAGATTGCCAGACAGATAAACGTGATTCATCACTCCAGAGAACATGTCTCCACTGCTCTAGAGTCCAGTGGCAGCGTGCTTTACACCACTGTATTGACTTCTGCACACTGTACGCCTCAGCATCCGTTGTCCCCGGTCTGTGATTTTACATGGCCTACCACTTCGTGGCTGAGATGCTGTTGTTCCTAATTGCTCCCACCTTGTTATAATACCACTAACAGTTGACCATGGAATATTTAGTAGCAAGAAATTTTCACGAACGGACTTATTGCACAGGTGGCATCCTATCATGGTACCACGCTTGAATTGAGCTCCTGAGAGTGACCCATTCTTTCTTTCTTTGTAGAAGCAGTTTGCATGCCTACGTGCTTGATTTTATGCATCTGTGGCTATGGAAGTGATTGGAACACCTGAATTCAATGATATGCAGGGGTGTCCCAGTACTTTTGACAATATAGTGTATGTATCTAATCATCATGCTAAGCACCACATGCAAAACCGTTAACCAAGCTTTCAAAATGGTTTAAAAAAATATTCCATAAATTGCAGTGATACTTTATTGTTATGTTTTTGGTTCCCACAGTGCATGATTTCATCATGTACTGCCTCATCTTATAGTCCTGAGAATGAGAATCATGATTCATGAAATGTGCCAAAGCAATTGAGAACAATTGTAACACATATACTGTAGTAACAAATAAAGTAAATGCCTGAGATAAAACATGCAACACGATTCATTAATGATGAATTAACATGAGATCAGTATGCAACTAAGACTTAGTTTGAGGTTAATTACAGGTTTTCTCAATTGCTTTTGACACATTTCACAAAACATGCTTAACATCCTCAAGACTATAAGAGCATTTCTCAAATGTATGTGTCATACAGCACAATACTAAGGTTTAGGTGTAAAACCCTGTAACTTACCCAAAACAATTAACTCATGTCTCAAAACCAAATAATTCCACCAGTGAATTAGTCAGTGCCACCAAAATGAAAAGTACAATCAGCATAATTTTAACCATGAGACTCAAAATGCTTAGATATATTGTCAGTATGTCTGTGTAAGTCTGCTGCTGAGTTCCACAATTCTGAATGATAGTTCGTTCCCACTCGTTGTCACTGACCAATCATTTTTCTTTAGCAAACTGATACTTATTCATGGCAAAGACATTAGTTTCAACACTGCAAAGCTCTACATTACAGTATGAAAAGTTTCCTGACAAGAAAAAGCACTCGCATGCACATGTAACTTCTTCCGATCTCGAGACAGAGTACTATAGCAAAAAGCCACATGGCACTGCATAGCACAAAGTACTATAGCAAAAAGCCACACGGCACTGCATGGCATAAAGTACAATAGAAATAAGCCACATGGCACTGCATAGCACAAAGTACTATATCAAAAAGCCACACGGCACTGCATGGCACAAAGTACTATAGCAAAAAGCCACACGGCACTGCATGGCACAAAGTACAATAGCAAAAAGCCACACGGCACTGCATAGCATAAAGAACTATAGGAAAAAGCCACACGGCACTGCATAGCACAAAGTACTATAGCAAAAAGCCACACGGCACTGCATAGCACAAAAGTAGCAAAATGACAAAATCATGTACTGTGGGACCCAAAAACACAACAATGCTACATAACTACAGTTTATAGAATGTATTTAAATCATTTTGAAAGTTTGGTTAACTATTTTGCATGTGGTGACTAACATGATAATCACATACACATAGACGTGGACAAATTTGTTGGTACCTTTCCACAAAAAACAAAACACAACTATCTCTGAAATAACTTGAAACTGACAAAAGTTTAATAGCATCCTTTATTGTTAATTCCATATTTAACACAAATCAGACTTTGCTTTTGATTATTGATTCAGTTTAATATTTTATATAATTAAACAAATGAAAATGGCACGGACAAAAAAGATAGTACTCTTAATTTAATATTTTGTGGCACCACCTTTTGCAGCAATCACTACCATCAAGTGATCTCTGTATTTCACAATGAAACGTCTGCATCTGCCAACAGGTAGTTTGGCCCACTCTTCCTGAGCAAACTGCTCAAGCGGTCTCAGGATTGAAGAGTGGCATCTCCACACTGCAATTTTCAGATCTTTCCATAGATGTTCAATAGGATTAAGATCTGGGCTCATGGAGGGCCATTTACAAATAGTCCAATGTTTTTTTTTCTCATTGCTTCTTTCTTGCGTGCTTTTAGTTGTATTTTTGGGTCATTATTAGGGGTGTAAATCACAGCTTTCCTCACGATACGATACAGTATCGATTCCTTAAGCTAACGGTTCGATTTTTTTTGATACCTCAGAAATTCCCACGATACGATACGATACGATACGATACGATACGATACGATATGATACGATTCGATTCAGTTTGATACTGGGGATAGTAGTCGAAATAACAGGAAACAGGTGATCACAATCGGTGTAGTACGAGTAGGTAATGAGGGGGCGTGACACACACGAGGATCGGACGAGCAGGTCATGACATCTACCTACTATAAAAATGTAAAACATATATTTATGTATAAAAATATTGAGTATTCATTAATATTTATTATAACCATTATTATTATTAATTTCCCTTTGGCATAAATAAAGTATTTTTGAATTGAACTGGGATTTAAAGTTCCTTCACCTTTCTATTTCTCAGCTCGCTTTTCGGAGGGAAGTTAATGTCGTAGTTTTTATGAACAGTCCGAAAATGCCACTCCACATTTCCCTTTTTCGGAATAGCAATGGGAGACTGACAGATGAGGCAAACGCACTTCGAATATGACATGTTGAAATAAAACAGTCCTCCCATTTCGTATGGAAGAGGTCGGTTTTTGGCTTCTTACTTGGTCCAGCTCCCCCATTCATTTTTATACCCTTTCTTAAGTTTAGTAGAAATAAATTGGAGGCTAACTAGGCGACTCGGTAGCTTGCAGCAGCTGGCGCGGTTGAACGCAAGACAGTGTCTGTCTGTCTTTGTGTACGTGTATCTCTCTGTGCATCACCTCTCCTTTTTGCAGGTATTACCGGTTCAATGAGAACTCTCACTCTGTGGATCCGGAATACCCCAAGCCTATCAGCGTGTGGAAGGGTGTACCTGACAACCTTAAGTCTGCCATCATGAGCAAGGATGCAGGTACCTGTTGGGTGAATGGGTGAGTGTGAGAGGGCAATGCAGCATGTACAGACTTCTGACTGAGGTCCCTGTCCCTCCCTTTGTAGCACACACCTACTTTTACAAGGCCAACAAGTACTGGAAGTTTGACAACCAGCAGCTGAGGGTGGAGCCAGGTTACCCCAAGTCAGTGCTGCGTGACTGGATGGGCTGTAGCGGCGTGGAGCCCAGGGTGCCTGGCACGGATGAGGAGGTGATCACGGTGGAGGTGGAAGAGGGGACCGGGGTCGGTCCGGCAGCCGTGGTGCTACCCCTGATCCTGCTGGTGTGCGTGATCTGTGCCCTTGGAGCCCTGCTGTTCTTCCGCCGATACGGCACACCCCGGCGCCTGCTCTACTGCCAGCGCTCCCTGCTGGACAAGGTGTAAGGGTACGGCGAGCGGGGGGGGAGGGAGGCGGAGCTCGGAGGCGAAGAGCGGGAAAGTGAGACGGCTTGGGTGTAAGCAGATGTGAGAGAACGAGATGGGTAGGAAGAAAGGCTGGTTAGAAGAGTGGGAATGGGTAGAGGAAGACAAAAAAGCAGAAATATAGGGGTTTCAAAGAGTTTTTGTGTATCTTTTTATAGCTCTATATATGTACATCCCCGTCCTCTTGCAACAGAACAGATCCGGACCATGTGGAGAGGTATACCGCAGCTAATTTGATGTTCTTGCCATTGCTCTGTTCCACACAAAAATCAGATACGCAGACAAATAAATTGAATTCCACTGATATATGGAAATTTAATTCCCACTGTTCCTCTTTATCCCTCCACCCCTTCAATCCCCTTCATCTCTCTATCCCTCTTTCCTCCGGTTTGACTCCAGCTTAGTTGCTGTTGATTTAGCATTTTCCAGATTTGTAGTTGTTTTGTGTTACCTGTAATTCCGACCTGGGGAGCAGCCCAGCCCACAGTCCCCTGCCCCCATGGTCCTGTCCTGGGCTCCCCTGGTCCCCCATCATGGGGTCAGTTCTGGCTCAGGTGGGATCCTCATCCCGCTATCCAGCTGAGTCCTTTGTGAAGTAGAACCAAATTCAGATATGAGGCAGCAGTTACACTCAGAAATAAAGGCAGACCCTGTTCCTACAACACAGCACGGCCCTACTGCAGCCAGCCTGATAGCTCAGCAGAGCACACTGCGGTTACGCACAATTCAGCACTGTGTTGTATAACACAGACCCCTTCCATGACACACAAATAGCAAGGCGCAGTGGGACCTTGTCCAGCGAGAAAGGATAGGCAGGGTGAAGTAGGAACAGCTAAATAGAGTGAGCTTTAATATGAATGTGGCCAGTGATCAACAAAGAAAGTCCCGCACAACAATAAAATAATCTTGAAGTGATGCTTTATCTGTTACTTATGCTTATGGTTGATTCATCAGGACCAAAGGAAGGCAGCGGTGGTTGGATTTTGTAATCAGGTTCTGGTTCTGTTTCTGTACATAGTAACTCTGAGCTACAAGTGAGATGCTTAGAGACAGTGAGAATGCAAGCATTTGTCCAGTCAGTGATAGAGGGCAGCACAGATGGTTTTGGTGATTTCATGTGCAGTTCCTGAACATCTCTGACAAGATGTTCCCTTTCTCCTGGACCCTTCACCTCCTGGCATCACTTTCAGTTCTATGGAACACTTCCAGTTGAATCTGTACTATTGTGTTCTGCTAAGGTCTACTGCATAATTTGTCACGCCATTTCTGTAGACGTCTACGGCACTTTAGTTCTAGGAAGTGTTCTATAACATTACGAAATTCTTGATGGCGTCTATACAGAACTGTTTAGCTGTATAGCATCTGTTCCTTCTGTAGTGCTGTGACGCATTCTACAGAGTTTTATATGACCGTTTAGCTTTGGACAGGGAAATGCCGTCTGTGTGAATCAGTGGCACAGGAGAACATCTGCGGTCTGCCCTGGTGGGCATCTGCTCATAACCGCCTGCCAATCATGTGCACTCACATGAGTTGGCTTCCACGTCAAGGGAAGCAGTGATTCACAATGGCTACTGGCGGCATAGGACTACTAGGTCATTGTCTTTTATAAAGAAGGTTCTTGCAGCTCATTAAAGACGAGTGTATGCACAGGAAACGTTTTTAGAACCTTGAACAATGCAAGCGATTACACCTGCTTTTATATCATCAGATTGCAACACCTGTACCACCAATGAAATTACACAAGAGTGGCTGTTTCTTCAAGCTAGAGTAACAATTAAAGCATGCCTCATTGGACAGTGCAGAATGTCCCCAGTGATGTTAATCTCACATCACCCACCCACCCCTCCCAAAAGAGAAGCAAAACGGAAGTTGGCGTAATTTTAGTCATTTATTTATTTAGTCATGTTATTATTAACTGAAATGACTCATTTGGTCAGCTGGTTCATTTCTGGTGTGATATTACCTAGGCGATTGACTGAGGGCGAGGGAAAAAGATTCGATGTGAGTGGGCGTGTTAACTTCAGACCCTGTCTACTCAGTTCTGCACGTCGTGCCCGGAAACGCACCCCGCCAACCTGCCACGCACAGCAGCTTCTGTCCTTGGCGTGTTCTCTAATGCAGGTCCTTCCCATCCCGGTCATGGGGTGCCTGCTAGTGTTTGTAGCGCTTGAGCTTTTGTTGTGAATGGACAATGATTTTACAGATTTTGACCATCCTGACGTGTATATGAAAGACATTGTAGGAGGTGTATTTGTAAGGATAAAACTATTTAAATACAAAAACAATTTACACATAGGCTAATAATAATCTGGTTAAGTTAATCAATAAAATAATTACTCAACATTTGCTTAAGTTCTATCCATCCATCCAACTAATCTTTCCACTACTTGTCCAGTGCAGGGTCACGGGGATAGTTATAAATGATTAACTGAACGTTTAGTTTGTATAAATTACTGATATGATTATGAATCATTTTGTTTGAAGGCATAAATAGCATGTTTCTTAGGACAAGTCTGTCAAATGGTTCGCTGCCTTCACCTTTTAACAGCTGTAGCATAAACAGGAGTGTTTGGGATCAGTCCGGTGTTGCTAAATGCACGAGGACATCTAAGGAAGTGGAGGCGGTGACACAGGGACTCGACAGTAAGGGTCTTTGCCGAAGTACAGGCAGGATCTGGGTGGGAAAGGAAGGATCATAACAGTGAATAGGCAGAGCAAGAGAGGGGGAAACAAAATGTCATTTAGCTTGGAGGGTGGGAGAGAGTGAATGCAGCCTCTGGGAAGGGAGGCAACACAGAGGTCTACTGGGGAGCAGAGGTGGGCATTCAGATCCAGAAAGTAAAAATCCAGACCAAGATTTTGTTTCAACCAACCAGTTGAACATAGAAAGGCACAGTGACAGAGTGTTCAACTGGCTGGTTGAAACAAAATCCTGGTCTGGATTTTTAATTTTTTTTTTATTTACTTTCTGGCCCTTAAATTTCCACCTATGCTTGGGAGAAACGTACCTGAACACACAAATTTATATGAAAAGTTATATGCAGGCAGGCAGAAGAAATCAGTGTGAATAACTACAGCGACCTGTGTTTGCCCTGCTCACAAAGAGGGGGGAGCTAAGGCCAGCATATCCACTGGCTCCCCGGGTCCGGCAGCGGGAGGCCCTGCTGTAATGACACCCTGTGCACAGAGTCAGTCCACGCCTCGGTAAAAGCTGATTGCCATTGACCCTTGTGTAACAGGAAAGCCTGCAGGCCACAAGTCTCCAGTCTCAGCAAAGCGAAGCCAATAGATCACAATCTCACTGATGTCCAGGTAATGGAAAAGAGTACCAAAGGTTCTTTGGTAAAGGTTACCTAGACGATCACTGAGATTGTGATCAATCAATTTCAATGAACTAACGAATTTATCCTGTCCAGGTCTATTTCTAAACAAAGAGCAGAGCTGTTTGTCCTTGTGCAATTAGTGCAATTGTTTGTTACTAATCCATATACTAGACTTCTTATTGTGTTTGTTATGGTTCCTATTTTTGTTATCATGACATTATCATTATTGTTATTGTTCTCCATGGGTAGTTAATGTTTTTCGGGTCCTGCTGGTCAGAGACCTAAGGCAACAGTTTTGAAAATGGCTTCCATATTTACTTTGATTTTGGAATGTGGTGTATAATTTGGGGCTAAGGCTATTGTTATGTTAAAAACATACTTGATTTCACCTCTCTTGATATATAAAACAGGAAATGTATTAAAAAATATTTTGTGATCATCAATGTCAACTGCTTCTATAATGAAATTTCAGCAGTTAATTGTATGGAATGATATTACTAAGAAAATAACTATGATAATAGTAATATTTATAATTATTAAAAAAATAGGAATGAAGATTTGCCTGTTTTCACTTTTTTGTATTGCTCTTGTCAAAACTCAAATAAAACATTTTATAAAATGTTTTGAGTTAACCCTGTGCTTTGTGTTTAAATCAGTTACTCACCAGATGTTTATGCACTTTTTTCTGAGAAACTGTATTTTGCATGGCTGGTTTGAGACCCCTGCAGCTCACAGTGATGAGCAGCTCAGTGTGTTCCTTGTCCACACTGAATAACAAATTTGACGGAGTGGGAGTTGGAACATGAGTAAGGGCTTCTGCCATCAGACAGAGAAGTGAGCAGCGGTGGGAATGCATGACAATGGAAATGCAGCAAAAATGACCCTATGCCTGCCCTCCCAGATGACAGCTTGCGATCCATCATTCGACAACTGGATGGGAAAGAAACACACTGAGATCCAAGTTTTTAGTGCAGCCAAAACAAAAAAGAAACCAATTGCGTAACTTCCTGAAATGCGAGCCAACCAAATGCTCTGTTTTTAACAGAGGTTGTTTACGCTGTTGACTCTTTTCAAGAAAGAAAAAATGTGTTTCCCCTCTATTCTAGAATGCAGTGGCGTCTCTACTTAGACAAATCGTGGGGTAAGTAGGACAGTAATGGAGGTTTTAGGAGCTGTTTTTAATAGAGGACTGAGATCATTGCTATGGGAGGCTGAGGTTCTATGCAGTGATCCCAGTTGGACAGACGGCAGCAAAATTCCATTACCGACATCTGGAATTCCAGCTGCATTCTCACTGCTGCAGACACACGGCAGGGGCGAGGTGCATGTGTGTGTGTGTGCCCATGATTCCCTTAGTGTACATACTACACATGTGCTGTTGAGTCTTTCTATCTACGTGCTGCGTGTGAGTACATGTAGGGAAATTGGGGCTCATTCTTCTCCTAAACTCTCAACTCTTCTTAATTAATGCAGCTCCAGTGTCTGATTCTTTCCCTCCCCCAGCCCCACCCGTACTCCTGCTTTTTGTAGCTGGAGAGCTGTTTTCCTCCAATACTGCAAAAGAACTGTTTACAAGGGTTTTAACTCGAAACAGTCCAGGGCTCTCATTTTTATCCCCCGCTGTTTTTTCCTCTCTTCATACCTTTTTCTGCCCCATAAACTTCCGTTCACTCAATTGTTTCATCCACAGATCTCTCACATTGCCAGAACGTTTTAAGAAAAGCTGCAGCCACCTTTGCACAACACAAAATAATATGTTACCTTCCATTTCTTAGCTAAAATATTTGCATAGTTTCTATACATAATTAATAGTAATTTCACATTCTAGAACACCCAGATCATGTTTTCATCCTCTCCCCATTCTGACAGTTTCCTTTTATTCTGTTCCACATCTGTTAGTCTCACCTTCCCTTCACTTTCCCTGGATGTGCCACATGCTTTTCTGCTGTATCTTCCTTTGCCGTTTCTCTGTCAGAGATGGTTGGACGTCTTTATGTTTGTCCTCACACCCCAAAGACTTCAGGCAGCTGTATGAGCAAAGGGACAGAGATACTATTGATAGCAGATGCCTGCTTGAAAAGGTAATGGGACACTAATCCACGCAAAAGTGTGCATTTCTGCCCCTGTGTGCCTGCATTCCCATTTAATCTCAGTAATTGATTTGCCTTTTGGTCTTTGATGAACATGGATCTGCTGTATAGAAGATCCATGACACATAGTATTGCAGTTATATGCATATGCTAGACAGTGAAATAGTAACCTATAACATCAGGGATGCTAAAGCATCAGCAAACACAGCACTCTTAACACGCAGTAGGGCACATTTCTGTGGTCTGTGCAATCTTCTTGTAAGACAGTTTAAGATGCACACACAGAGAGAAACACTTAGGAGAGAAAGATGCAGTGTTTGTCACTTTTCACTATAGCTGTCTGCCAGGGAGTCTGAATATGCCATTAGCCACTAGCACCACAGTAAAAACCCAGTGGAAAAAATGCCCCCCCCTCCCCCCACCCTACAGCAAATACACTCTCGACAGCAGAAGAGAGCCCAGCTCCTACTCTATCTACTGCTATTTTAGGTGAAAGCACAGGTCCAACCCCCCCGACTCGTGAAGAGCCAGAAGGACCAGGCCATGCAGCACACGCTATGGACCTTATCCTATACCACCCACAGAACATGGCCATCACAGAGCTCCCTTACAAGCCAAACCATCCAGACCGTCCCGACCTGTGTGCTTGTGTGCGGTGGTGTTCAGGTGCCATTCTCCTAAGTGATGGCCAACTTCAGCACAGGTCACAGGATGCTCAAAAGTCAACCTTTCCTTCCCACTCAAGCCCTGTACTCCTTGACACAGCGGGCCTGGTCGGTCAGGAAGTAGGAAGTGACTTCCTGGGCAAGAGTTGCTGAATCAGGTTGTCGAGCCCAGCCCATGCCCTGACTCCATCACGCTAGCCCAGCTGTAGCTGGCAGGAAACCCCCCTGCCTTAGGCAGGGCCTGTGGGCAAATGGCAATTTCCAAACCATATCAGAAGATGGGGGGGGGGGGACCTTTTCTTCTTCCACTTAATGCCCGTCTTTCAACTCAGCTCTCTTTGCACGCAGATCGCTCCTCCCTTCCCTGACTCCTGCACAAAGAGCAGCATCTGGTTCTCATTTGCAAACAGCGAACAAAAAGCAGGGAGAGCGAGGGAGGGAATGAGGGACTAAAGGCGAGCGAGAACGGCTCAAAGAGGCCACATCACAGGCACGCCGGGGAAGGCGGGGGTGGCAGCCACGGGGTTACTGTGCGTGAACCCCGTCGTGTGGTTTCCCCTCTTAAGAGGAAGTTGCTTACGGGATAGAAGTTTGTGTTTTTACTGCACAGTCGGCATAATCGCCATTATTATTACAACCATCATAGCAACTTCCAGTGGCCAGGCTCTCACACTCAGTGAGCAGAGCGGTGGGGGGCCTCAGGGCTGGCGAAGGAGGCCGGGATGGGAGCCTTCACACTCGGCCGTAAGGCGGGATGCATATGGAGCCAGGAGCCAGTGTGGTCGCCATCCTCCACTGCAATAACAACATACTGCAGTTTGTGCATGTGCAATGTACCTGCACTGTACCTTATTTGCTAATCTCTCGGCACGGAAATAATGTAGGCGTGTGTTTCGGGTTAAGTAGGGAGTGTTGAACACAGGTTCAGCATTTTAGCGTTTCAGCACTTGGGGAAAAATTATGGGGAATCACCGCTGAGCTCATTTGGAAGATGGCAGAGGAAGGAGTGAAGGAGAAACAATAGGGCGAGACAGGAAAACAGAGCAGGAGGTCATAGCCGGCAGCTAAGCAGCTACCAAGCATAATCTCCGGGGCTCTGTAGATAAGTGAAAGCAATCATACACACCGCTATTACAGTATGCATGGTAACAGTAACAGAGATTAAAGAACGCAACAATCTTTATGCTGAGTCGGGAAAGCCCCAAATGGCTCTTATTGCAAATAGCAGAAACATACAAAAATGTATTTTTAATTTTGTGTGTGAATCAATGTTTAACTGCAAGTCTATCAATGCTCTGACTAAATTCTTACATGGACAATATTTCACAAAGCTACATGGCCGACTCTGGGAATACCCTGGTCATCTGCACAGCCATTAACTCTCCAGTGACTCCCGATATGAATCAGAGAGAAACATCAGCAGGCGAAGATGAACTAGCTACTTTAGCTTTGATTTCCAAGAGCATTGCCTTATTTTTAACAGAAACTATCAAAAAATGGCTTGCAAAAGGAATACTGGCCTTTAACACAACACAGAAAGAGGGTTAGTTCAACTCTCAATGCACACTGACTTCTGTTTTTCAGCAACACAGTATCTTAGAGAACTCACAAATCAGGTATCATTCTGAGTTTAAACTTTTCTGCACGACTCACATTGAGCGGGCTACAAAATGGTGGCTGACCGCTAAAATGAACTGTTTTGCGTTACTGCCACCTGGTGGACATAGTTTGTTATTGCATTCCAACAATTTACAGCAACCTGCCATATTGTACTGTTGCATGATTAAGATGCACTTTATCGACCCAAAGGGGAAATCCTGGAAATTACAATGCACTAATTATGATACTGTTCACAGACCGACCTAATTATCCAAAAATCCTTCCTTTAGAAATACAAGGTTATCACATCATTTGGAGCAGGGTGTGGCTCAGTGGGCTAAACCGCCATAGCTTTTATTAGAAGATCGCTAGCTCAAGCCCAGCCTTGGCACATCTGTGGGTCCTTGAGCAAGACCCTTAACCTTCAGCACCCTGGGTGTTGCTATGGCTGGCTGCCCTTCACAACCAGCTTGCTGACACCTACAGAGAGCAAGATGGGGGAGGCATGAAGAGCATTTCCCCACAGGGATCAATAAAAAGCATTAATTATTATATAACAGTTACTCTTTACACAGTAATATAGTCTATAAACCCAACAGCAAAAAAGAATTTGATCCATAGATGAATGTACAGTCTTAGAGATGGTTTAACTTTTTATATATATAAATGTGGCTCAGCACCAGGTGTAGCAACACCTTTCTGTGGTATAAATGCCTCTGAATTTCAAAGAACTAAGGTGACCAGCCCCATTTTAAAGATTCTAAAGTTTTACAAGGTACAATGACAAAGACACAAAGAATGAAAAGCCCAGAAAAAAAAAATGACCGGCACCCGCAACCCATGGATGAGGCGATTTTGCTACTGAAGGTGTTACATATAAATGTGGAGGAAGAACCAGTAGAAGCAAACTGGATCCTTTCACGGTATTTACAAAGCGTCCCTTGACTTTTTTGTTTCCAGAAGGAGTCTGCCTTTAGGTTTCAGACGTAATGACTTCTTCTTCTCCTCCATAGCTTGAGCGTCTTCCTTTTCCTGCTTCCATCGCTGCATCCCCCTGTCCATCTCTTCACTGAGGTCCACGACCCGTTTCTGGGGGAGAGTAACAGACTTGTAACTGTTCACCAAAGGGAAGCATCAAACCATCAATTACACGGAGCATTTCACAGAAATCTGACAGCCTGCAAACTCGGCGCTTTAAACTCAGTGACATGGAGAAGCGGCAAATGCAAACAACAAAGAGCACGTTATTCTCACCGCGAACTCCGCCCTTTCCCTCTGCCTCCGCACCTGGCCCTTCATCGCAGGAGCAGGGCGACCATCTGCAGTGAGGGACAAAAACACACTCAGCATACAGCATGCTATCAGTGAACAGCAAAGCACTCGGACGAGGCGCCCACTGTGTACCACCGCACCAACAAATACACGCACTGAGTGGTACCACCATACGGTGAGAGACACACAAAGTAGACTGCACATACATCTAAGGCTGCCTGTGTCCCACTGCAGCACTTCCCAGTGAGGCAGCATGACTCACCAGCATAGGACCAGTCAGGTAAATCGGTGAGAGGGCCATATTCTGATCCAGAGCGAGCTAAACCATGTCTGCAGGCAATATTGAGAGAGAGCAATAAACACAATTTTATCTCTTTACTGAGCTCTTTTAAACATTGCGACAAAGAAGGGTTGCCAACTTAGGTGAGCTGGCTGACGTGAGATTTTCAATTCGAGACAAGATTGCACACGCATTTTCATGTATGTAACAGTTTTATTACCTTGTAAATGGTCTGTGGAGTTTGCAAACTACCCCAACGCTTTTGATGTAGCTACTTTTAGGTTTATAGAGGAATAATATAGATTTGCATTAAGATTTCTCGTGAGTGAGAAAGTCTGAGTGTCACGCCAGATTCATGAGTTGGCAACCCTGTGAAGGTGCTTCTCCCATTTACAAATGCCATTTGTATAATAGTTATAAAGCTAATGGCTTGTACATTTATTTCATTTAGCATCCGCTACTGTCTAAAGAGACATATAAACGAGGCAGACAACATATTGTAAACGTGGATCTTATAATGAACAGTATATGTGTGCGACTGTGCCTCATGTCATGGAACAGACATGAGTCCCGCAAGCTCGTGTTATAGAGTGTCATACACTGTCCACCAGTATGTATAAGTGACAATTTCAGTGTACGTGCGTATTTATTTCTCATCTTCCAACCGAACAGAGACTTACTCCAATCTCCATTTGCTCCCCGCCGGCGTCCCAGCAGTCAGTGAGAAAAAGCGTGGCGACAATCGGAAAGCTAGGGGAAAAAACAAAAGATCTACAAAAAAGCAAAACCACCAACCAGACACCAACATTTAACAATAACTCAAATGCCCAAAACTATAGATCATTGAAGAAGCAGCGCAGTGACATTGCTGTCACGTACCAAACTGCACATGCTGGAAATGGGTTTAAGAAATCACTGTATAAAGAGACAGACAATAAACGAGATCACACTCTAAATTTACTGGAGGCCGCCTAAAATTGATAAACAAGACTAAACCATTAAGTCCTTCTGGTCTTACATGCAGAACACAGCACCCTCGTAGTCACCGCCATGTTGAACGTGATTGCTAGTGGGTACGGAAACTCAAGGAGGACAAACGAGGCAATGTACAAACTCGATTTTCTAAATCAAACCACTAGATGGGGCATGAAATACAAAAGAAGGCAAAAATATCTCCCATTCACCAATATTAAAAATGTACCCTTACTTCATGACTTAGATAAAAAAAAATACGCGCATACGTCTTCTGCAGCATAGTTTAATATTCATGCTATCATATTCCCAACTTTAAATTGATATTATTATTGTTAAATCATATAATACTGAAATATTCACGTTGTATCACTTTTAATTCTAATGATTTATGCAATCTTATCAGATAATAGTGCATGTAATTTCTTTAGCACACATAGCTGCTATAAAACGTAAATCTTATGTTTCGTATGCTACGTTTAAATATTATTCCCTTTTCCAGTTCCCTTTTTAATCACCAGAATTAATGCTGAAGCTGCAATACATTGGCATAAGCGCCAAAGCGGTGTTATTTCAGTGCGATAGTTTTTGTCGGAGGTTCAATGGTTATCGACATGCCTCTTAGTCACACTTATTTAACCATTGCTTAAGGTGTGGGCGTGGACTGAGCATCTGGAGACATGGCTGCAGCCATCTGTTGTATTGCTAGGGGCAGCATATGACATATTAATGTTTTACACACACACACAATCTAGGAACATATTTGCTGTAGCTCTAGAAGGCGGACAATGATTCTCAGAAGAAAAGAGTAATGTCGTAGCAGCAGCTGAGTCGCCTGTTGCAGTCCCTTGGGGGTTGCTATTGCAGGGCGACATGCATGTCCCAACATGCAACCGAGGCCACCTGGTCAGGGAGAAGGGGGGCGGAGGGTGGGCTGGACGGGGGTGGGGGTAGAGAACCAAAGAACACCAAGCTGACGAAGGACAAGCTCCACTCAAAAAGGCAAACAATTAAACAACAAAAGTATAGCAACCATTACGTCATGTTTCAAGTAATACACATCGTTTTGTAATACATATTACAGAAATAGAAGCGATTAACTGGAACTAAGCATGTATCATACCATGTCAACCAATTCCAACAAGTCACAATAAAAAGGAGAATCGGCTTTTATCTCATTATGAAAAACTATTCACGTCGGCAAAAAAAATCTTTGATCGGGATTAAGTAATTTTACATACTACTGCTAATTATAAGGAGTAGAGGAAAGGCGAAATTACCACCTGCGTATTTGGCTAATATGTATATTTCCAACCACCCAACTTCCAACCGCTTATCCATGTCAGGATCGCCAGAAGGTGGATGAGTCTGCAGCACAGGCGCAAGGCTGGGGTAAATCCTGCAGGAGATGTATTTCCGAAGTAATTTTTTAAAGTGCTTACTGGGCACATTTCTGTTATATTTCAGGACTGTATACACATGAGCAAGATGCACTTTCTGATAAGCGATGAAATGCGGTACTTTGTTATCGCCATTCTCGGGACGTCAACAATACACTGAGTTCATAGGCAGCGTAACCGTTTTACTTGCCCTAAATAATCACTGGTTCATTTCTCAACTTCCCACACACGGGCTGAAATCGACATGTTATAAATATCTGGACTTCTAACCACCCAATAACTGGTATTGTTCGAGGAGCAGCTTGCTCGCACGTACTTGAATCACCCATTGTGCCAGTGCAGACGTGTCCCAGGCAATAACAACCCAGACTTCATTTCGTACTATCATCACAGTGCTTCTGATCGCCGAGTAACCTTCTCCCTCCTTTCTTCCTATCTCCTACACAGTGCTGAGTAAGCTCGCCAGCATTCAACACTTTTTAAAACAAGTTCCCACTCGCTGATAACTGGTCGGCATGGGAGAGGCAGGGGTACAGAAAGACACGCGTTGCAGCAAACCGCAGCAGCAAATGGAGGAGGAAATAAGTGCAGGAAAATGGGGGGGTAGGGCAGACCAGAAACAAAATGGTCATTCTTTAAGCAATGCTGTGGATGCCTGTGGTGTTAATAAAGTAATAGCCTTGAGACACGGGGATTTCGCATTTAAATGATGTCGGGCAAAAGGTAACCAGACCATAAGAAATTGTTACATTGTTTTGTCTCCGCTTCGCACACGCGCACAAATCGCTCTGGCTACATGTGACTTCAGCAGTATCCTCTCGCGCATTCCAGAGGCTCGCGGCACAAAAAAGTAGTTCTCGACAAAAAAAAAAGAATGAAGCGGGAGAATTAGAACTTACCAAACTACAGGAAACAAGAAATAAACGAAATGTTTCCATATTTGGGTTCCTGTATTTCTATATTAGTATATGTGTTAACAAAAGAGACGGGAAACCGTATCCTGAATGTTTAAAAAGTAGGCACCGCGAAATAAGTTTATGTATTCTAAGATGCGACCACATATTTATTCGATTGTTTACTGCTTATGCATAACACACAAAATACATGTTGTTTTAAAAAGCATATGCAGTTATTTTAAAATAAAAATATATATGCTTAAAATATATATTTTAAGGCCCAACATACCGTATACACATTTCACAGCTGCTAAAGCAATACTGTATAATATACAAATCATACAGTTTTGTCATTTTATGAGTGTAGCGACTACGCGCAAAGTGTGAAAAGGTCTGAACAAAGCATTTTATGATACGGGACGCATGCTGGACCTTAACTGATTCTGAACAAGGGTGAGCGAGCGAAGGACAGAAGGGAAATTTGGGACGTAGGCCAATTCATCCGCGTTAAAGAAAGGTGTCCCGTCTCCGGCAAAAAAGCCAGAGAAAGAAAGAGGAGGTCGGAGTTTGGGAGGAAAGAAAGGCAAGTCCGGTTATATTTATTTATTCTTTGTAAATTATTCTTGGTGTTGATTTTTTTTGTACCATTTCAGCAGGTTCACGCTGTGCGTTCACACAAGTTAAACACATTTCCTTCAAGACGTTCTTCATAGTTTTTTAGGCTTTGTTTTAATTTATGATAAAAGTAACAGTCTACGAACGAGGTGAGGACGAAAAAAAAACCTGGCAGGATCTAACGTCTTGTTCCTTTTACTTTTTTGTTATGAGTGAAAAGTGATAGACTCTTCGAAGATTGTTTCACCTGAGCAATTAAAAAAAAGAGAAGTTTATAAAATTACAATCTTCAAGACGTCTTTTGTTTGGTTTTGCTACTTTTGCACGACGAATGCCGTAACCTGTACCCATTTCATCCGAGGACGGAAGAAAAACCGGCAAATATTTTTGATTTATACGAAATTAATCGAAAGCTATTTATTTTAACCGAAGAAAGTGATCCGCTTCTTTATCGGATTCATCATTCACTTACCAGCCAGAGATCACAAAAGAAGAAGCAGGAGCCGCAGCCTGTTACTGCAGGAACCGCTATATTCACTGAATATAAACACTGAACGGACAGATCAGAGGACCTGAATGATAAACGCGGTTATTGATTACCGTCCATAGCAAAACGCTGCGATCGGTGCCGTTATTTATAACTCTTATTAAGTCCTGTTTCACCGTTTTATGCGATCTTTTCGCGTTCGTTAAGACTACTTGGTCGTTATTGTGGAAAAATTAAATGGATTTGCTGTCGGTACCTTGTGGTAGTCGCCCTGTTAAACCAGCGATGACCGCACACCTGCTATTCAGGCATGACTGTCTGCTAAAATAATTCTCCGAACATGCCGTAACTCCTATTTATTTTTAAATGTAATATTTATTTGGTGATGCAATATACACTGTCTATACTCTTCAACTGCTGTAGAATTACTTGAATATTTTAACTGCTTGTCTTATTCTATATTTATTTTATCCGCCCTGTTAACTTTAGTAGTGGCTATCAGTAATACTAGTAAGTGCGTTGTTAGTGGATTTGTTTAAGCATTAAGTGTAAAATGGACCGCTTTAGCAGTAAGTGGCTGGAGAAATTAAAACGGAATGACACGGGTAGTGTTAAATTTTCAATTTCTAAAAAGAAAGGTGACTCGGGAAATGCAAATAACAACAACAGTGCAAATGTGCCTGTGGCCACCGGCGTGGCGGTTGCTTCTGCTCCGTGCCCTGGTCCCGGTCCCGGCCACGGTCTGGGCCAGCCTGCCCTACCCTCACCAGCATCGGCCGATTTGTGTGGGCAAGGAGCTAGAGGCGGTGGGCAAGGCCCTCATGTCCAGCGGGTGTCTCCCACCACAGTCCTACCAGAGAGCAGCTGGAACAGTGAGCATCACTGTAACACCTCTGCTGCTGCGAAGCTCCGGAGACGGCCGCCTCAGCAGCCCAGCCAAAGGAATGCGGTCGTCCCCGGGGATGCCAGGGCGCCTGACGTGGGCCGGTGTAGCTTGAGGAACAGCTTTTCTGGGCTCAGTGAGCAGCTGAGGCGGGACCTGATCCTTACAGAGGCAGACCCGGCGCTGTCGGCTCTGGGTAGCGGAGTCATGCGACCCCTGGGCCAGCGCCGGTACTCCCTGGAGCTTCAGCAGCTCGTCCAGAGGCACCAGCTCCTCTCTCAGCCTCCGCCGCGGCCGCCGCTATGCTATAAGGGTGATGGCAGTGCCCCGCTCGGGTACGGCATGGACGAGCCGGGCTTCCCACTGGAACAGGATCGCTACAAGAGACTCTCCCTGCAGGAGACGTTTACCTGCAAGCGGCATAGCACAGGTGGAGGAGAGCCGTGGGAGCGGCCGTCGTCCCTCTCGCAAGCGGCAAGCCGCACCGCTGAACAAGGTGCTGCCAGCTGCTTTCCAGGCCTTGCCCTCAGCCCCTGCTCCTCTGCCAGCTTGCAGGAGTCCCTGCTGGCCAGCCCCCGCTCCAGCTTCGCCAGCACCGCTAGCGGTGGGAGCCCCATGGGCAGCCGATGCAGCAGCAACCGCACCAGTGGCATCAGTCTGGGCTTCGACACACGCTGCAGCGCCATGCAGTTCTCCTCGCTGCCACCAGGGGGCACTGCATTCGCAAGCCCAGGTCACATGGCAGGGGTGAGACCACATGCTCCCTCTGTGTATCTGGATGGGGCAGCAGCGGGTGTGGCACAGGATAGCCGGCATTCGTATCCCCCTGCATCAGGAGGTGCTAACACAGATCCAGGGGACCAGCGGCCAGTGCGGGGGGTTCCCAGGGACCGACTGCGCTACTCTGACCTCCTGGGAACTCAGTACCAGGAGGAGCTTCTTTGCCTACTGCGGAAAGAAGCTGGACTTCCCCGAGAGACCCAGGCAGATGCTCAGCGCCTCTTGGAACTCCTGGAGGAGCTGACCCTTAAGGAGCAGCTGCCATCTGCAGGTCCCCCCAATCCCAGTGAAGATCTGGGACCAGGCAGGGATGCAGCTGAAAGCCAACAGGAGTACTTTGGTGAGATCAACACTCAGACTTCATGGTTACTGCCAGTGCTCTAGATCAGTGTTTCCCTCAGTCCTCAGGGACCCAGAGATGGTCCACATTTTTGCTTCCTCCCTGCTCCAGTTAGTCCACATTTCTGCTCCATATCTGGTAGGGAGCTCGGAGGGAGCAAAAACATGGACCGGCTGTGGGTCCCCAAGGATCAGATTGGGAAACACTGCTGTAGATTTATGACATCGGACTGATCTGGGTGCAGCTTCCTGGCTGAGTGGAACACTCATGAGCAGATGCAGTACATTCAATAGTGCCCGCAGTGCAGCAGCACTGCGTAATTCTAAATTACATGCTCTGGGGATAGCAGCATGGATGGGCGTATGCCGCTGCGGTGCGCTCTGCCAGCCACCACATGTTTTGCCCGCACTCCCCCGGGAGGCCCGGAGCGGCTTGGCGCATGTGCTGCGTGTGCTGGCGTGTGCGGCATGATCCCTTTATTCCTTTGGCTCAGGTATTCCAGCCCTGCAGGGAAGGGGGTGCACTTGTATTTGCGGGGTGTCGGGAGGGAGCGCGTGATAAGGGATGTGGTACGTGGCTTTAGAAATGTTTCCCTCTATAGGATGCTGCCTGAATGGAGGCCATAACTCAGGAGGATTTTAGCACTTCAGGGTGCCTGCTTGCCCTCAGCCCTGTGGGTGACCGTCTGCCTGTATGTGTCACTGTGTAGCAATAAGATTTAATGGAAGCCAGTCATCTAGCACAGTGTTTCCCAAGCCGGTGCTCAGGGACCACCGCACTCCACATTTTTGCTCCCTCCCTGCTCAGGAGCAATAATGTAGACTAACAGGCAGCTGAGAGGAAGTGAAAACCTGAACTGTCTGTGGGTCCCTGAGGACTGGGTAGGGAAATACTGGTCTAACACACCCAAAAGACCACAAGCTAAATTTGAGCAGCCTCCCGTACTGCACCACAGTGAGGACGGAAACTGCCTTCCCTACATAGGATGTTTGCTTTGAATGAACTGTGTTAATGACACAATTCAGATCCTATTCAGATTCTGTGGTATTTCAGTTAATCATTGATAGCATTTTCTAATTGAAGATTCACTCCTTATGTGCCTTGCATTGTTTCTTTCATCGTTTTTTTGACTGATGAATGAATGAATGAATGCTACATTTATATAGCGCTTTTCTAGAAACCTGAAGCCCTTCTGCATAACCAATGGGAAGCCCCATGAACCACCACTGTGTAGCACCTGGATGATGCAACATCTGCCATTCTGCAGCAGTACACTCACCACACCGTAGCTCAGGTGCTGAAGGGGCAGGAGAGAATTTCCCCACGGGCATCAATAAAATATCAACTGTTGTTTATTATCATTAGATACAGGGGATGATTACTAGGCCAGATTTGAAATGGCCACAGTGGGTAATTTTAGCCAGGACATCGGGGTACCACCTCTATTCTTTTGAAAGATGCCCAGGGATTTTTTTTATGACCTCAGAGAGTCAGGACTTTGGTAAAAATGGCACCATCCTTCAGATGGGATGTACAACCAGACAGTATCCCTGCCACTGCACTGGGGCATTGGGAGGGGCTTCCTGTGAGCCACACCAACACCTCTTCCAGAAGGAGATTTATTCCTTATGTATTTCATTGTTTTTTTTCTTTCTCTCAAGCGTTTTTTTTTATTTATTAATAAGTTCCATAATTTTTGACTAATGTGAAGTACTCTGAGACTATCGTATGTCAGGTATATGTTATGGGTTCAGCACCCTTAGTTGTCATGCATTCAGTCAGCAGCTCAGGATTAAAAAGTGAGTGTACATGCTAAATGACACGCCTGAAGCCATGTTAATGACTTGTTCCAGGGACCTGTGTGAAGTGCGGTAAAGGTGTATATGGGGCCGACAATGCTTGCCAGGCGCTGGACAGTCTCTACCACACCCGCTGCTTCACCTGCGTTTCTTGTGGTGAGTTCACCTCACATTGCCATTGCTGGTAATTCAGGCTGGCTGGTGCGTTCTCCAGCCCCACTTTCCTGGTACTCACTAGTCCATGCATGTGAAAGGCAAAGATTTCTCTCTCATTTTCTGCTCAGTGTGACAGGTTGCTCTTGGCCTCTATCTGTCCCTCTGTCATCTTGTTTTGGCTGCTCTTGCCAACCAAACAACCCTAAGGGCCCACCGCTGTAGAACAGCTTCTGAAATACACCAGTGTCATTGTCACTCGTCGCTGAACAAATACTCTTTTGTCTCCCACAGGTCGCACCCTCAGAAACAAGGACTTCTACAATGTCAGTGGATCTGTGTACTGCAAGGAGGATTACATGGTGCGTAAATGCCTCTTCCTGCTGGTTGAAGCCATCCTCCGTATCCCTCTGATTTCAGGGTTCTTGCTAGGTCTCTGCGCACTCGATCATGTCAGGAATGTGTGATTATAGCCCTGGCTCTGAGCATCCCCCTTATTATGGCATAGCCTGCAATAGTTCTCTAACTCAAAAGTGGTAATTAAGTGTAATGTTTAGTTGCTGGCTTTTCTGACCTTCAGTCTCTCTCGCCTCCACCCAGTTCTCAGGGTTCCAAGCAGCAGCAGAGAAGTGCAGTGTGTGTGGACACTTGATCCTGGAGAAGGTAAGTGTGGAAGGTGTGTGTGTGTGTGTGTGTGTGTGTGAGTGAGTGAGAGAAGTCGACCGTACCCAGCTAGGTTTATGTGCTCGACAGTCCTTTTGCAGCATGGGTCTGCGTTCATGTCTCCAAAGTAAAACCTCAGCTGAAGCTTTGCTGGATGGCTTGTGGGATTGAAACCTGAACAGTAGAACATCCCACGGTTCTGTTTGCACGTCTCAGATACTGCAGGCTCTGGGGAACTCGTACCACCCCAGCTGCTTCCGCTGCGTTGTGTGCACCAAGGCCCTCGATGGCGTCCCTTTCACAGTGGACTACCTCAACAACGTCTACTGTGTCTCAGACTACAACAGGTGAGCCGTCACGTCTCAGAAATGCAGATGTCCGCTATTCAAAAAAAGATTTAGTTAATATAGGTAAAAACATTGCCTTCATTCCATCTCCACTGTAACTCACTGTAGGACAAGAAACGGCTTGTTTCAGCCTGCAAGGCTTCAATCAGTCTAACCCTAGCTGGCAGATTTAACTTTTTTGAGGGACAGAATCCTGTTGGAAAATGTTTCTATAATTACTTTCTGTATTAAAAATAAGAGAACAAAGACCTACTGGATCCCTTGACCCCGAAGAACTGGACTTGCCCATTCCTGTAGTGTTATGCCCAGTGAAAATGTTTTGTGCTTATCAGCCTGTGTCCACCTGGTGGTGTAAAATGGACCTGCATGCACTGTATTCCAGAACTTTTGCTCCAAAGTGTGCTGCTTGTCTTCAGCCCATTCTACCTGCGGAGGTGAGCACTACTTTTTTTAAACATTTAATTTAGTTTTATCATTAAGTGCTACATCCGGGCAGCCATACAAGCGCTGTTCTTCAGGAATGTTCTGTCTTTTACAGTCGACCCCTCTGCATCACAACTTTCCTCATCGCGGTTTTGATGTATTGCGAGGTTGTTTTGTAAAAGCCACAGATGACACACGTGTGCCAGCAGACACAAAAAGTTTAGTAACTCATAAATGCGTAAAATATCTGAACAGTAATGGTTTGGAGGACGCCACTTGTGTTTATAGCAGCCTCTCGTGTGTGATCTCGCAGTGATCTTTGTATCGCTCACTTCTTGCATCTTTTCACTTCTGTCCATTTGCTTCACTCGCCAAGAGGACCAAAAAATTTTACACTGTTTTCCAGATCAAGGGGGGTCTGCACCCTTAACCCCCCTGATGGGGAAGGGTCGGCTGTATAAAGTGTGTACATTATTTAGAAAGCTTTTAATAAAAAGTAATATGAATGTCTTTTAGTTTGGAACTGCATTGATTTTTTTTAATTTTTAATTTTTTTTTTACTACTTGTGTATATTCCTGTTGAGGGCCTAGTCCAGAATATGACCAGATTTTAAGTTTTTAACATGCTTGTGTCCGTATGTTCGGTTTGTAGGTGTTATGTTGATTCTGTGTTGTATCACAGGGCAGTGAAGAAATTCTCAGGGTGGTATCCATGCAGAAGGATTACCACTTCGAGTGCTACCACTGCGAGGTCAGTCAGCGTCTGCACCCTCCATCCTGCACCCAACCCTGATAACAATTATCATCTTGTTTGTATTTTGCTGTGAAAATATACACAATATTAAGCCATGCAGTTATAAATATGCATTATAAAGGTCCACTTAATTAGCAAACACCATAGTAAGGCTGTTTTCATTGTGACACTTTAACCACCATTTCTCATATTTATTTAAGCACAACTTCTGTGGTAGATGCCTTCCATAAGGTGGCTTCGTTTACCCACCATATCATTCTTAAGTTGGCTGTATACTTCAAATGATGTCTGGACAAAACGAAAGAAGGATCTGTCACATTTAAAACAACACTGCCAGCTTTGTTCTGTGTCACCACAACCCTAGATGGTGCAACAGACCCACATACAGAGTGCAAATAAGCATATTGTGACAAGTCATTTTAATAAAGGAGATGAGTTTATTTAAAATCTATTGGTTTAATACTAGTGAACACACAGACAGGGAAGCCACAATTGATACAACAGTTACACGCCAACTAAACACATGTATCCACGGCAAATAGTTCACAGTTACGACATTTACTATTAACAGACATACAGGAATACACAAATTAATTAAGACTATTTAAAGCACTGCAAAACATGACAACTGCATAATTAGTCCTGCTGACCAACTCCGTGGCATACCATATATGGTCAGCTAATTGTGGACAGTGGGCAGGACCGAAACAATCTTAAGTTCATCTCGGGGACCCTGCACGGGTGTGGTATTGCCAAAACAATGGTGATTTCATCTGAAGTATATAGTGTTTCATGTAGTTAGTGACTTGAAAAAGTATGCATACCCCTTGAACTTGTCCACATTTTGTCACATTACAACCACAAACTTAAATGTATTTTATTGGGATTTTATATGTATTTTGGGTTATGTTGCTACCAGCTTTGCACATCTAGAGGCTGCAGTTTTTGTCCATTCTTCTTTGCTAAAAGCTCAGTCAGATTGGATGGGGAGCGTCTCTGAACAGCAATTTTCAAGTCTTGCCAGAGATTCTCAGTGGGATTTAGGTCTGGACTTTGACTGGGCCATTCTAACACATGAATATGCTTTTGATCTAAACCATTCCGTTGTAGCTCTAGCCGTATGTTTAGGGTCGTTGTGCTGCTGGAAGTTGAACCTCCACCCCAGTCTCAAGTCTTCTGTAGCCTCTAACAGCTTATCTTCAAGGATTGCCCTGTATTTAGCTCCATCCATGTTCCCATCAACTCTGACCAGCTTCCCTGTCCATGCCACCACCGTCTTTCACAGTGGGATGGCGTGTTAAGGGTGATCTGCAGCCACCACCGTCTTTCACAGTGGGATGGCGTGTTCAGGGTGATGTGCTGCCACCATAGTCTTTCACAGTGGGATGGCGTGTTCAGGGTGATGTGCAGTGTTAGTTTTCCGCCACGCATAGCGTTTTGCATTTAGGCAAGAAAGTGCAGTTTTTAGTCTCATCTGTGTTCCCTACATGGCTTGTGGCAAACTGCAAACAGGACGCCTTATGGCTTTCTTTCATCAATGGCTTTCTTCTTGCCACTCTTCCATAAAGGCCAGATTTGTGGAGTACATGACTAATAGTTGTCCCGTGGACAGATACTCCCACCTGAGCTGTGAATTTCAGAAGCTCCTCCAGAGTGACGACAGGCTTCTTGGCAGCTTCTCTGACCAGTGTTCTCCTTGCTCGGTCTGTCGGTTTAGGTAGACGGCCATGTCTTGGTAGGTTTGCAGTTGTAACATACTTTTCCCATTTTTGGATGGATTGAACAATGCTCCTTGAGATGTTCAAACCTTGGGATATTTTTTTTTATAACCTAACCCTGCTTTAAACTTCTCCACAACTATATCCTTGACCTGTCTGATGTGTTCCTTGGTCTTCATGATGCTGTTTGTTCACTATTATTCTCTAACAAACCTCTGAGGCCTCCATAGAACAGCTGTACCTATACTGAGAATAAATTACACGCAGGTGGACTCTATTTACTAATTAGGTGGCTCCGGAAGGCAAGTAGTTGCCCTGGATGCTCTGTATCTAATTTTTATTTTGGGGTGCCAGAGAGCAGGGGGATGAACACAAATTTGCGCCACACCTTTCAAATTTTTATTTGTGAAACATTTTGAAAACCATGTATCATTTTCTTTCCACTTCACCATTATGTGCTAATTTGTGTTGGTCTATCACATAAAATCCCAATAAAATGCATTTAAGTTTGTGGTTGTAACGTTACAAAATGTGGAAAAGTTCAAGGGATATGAATACTTTTTCAAGGCACTGTATGACACGAATACGACATTGCCCCTGAATATCCCCCCCCCCCTTCTCCTCAGGACTGTGGGAAGCAGCTCTCTGATCAGCCAGGCTCCCAGTGCTACCCCCTGGACTCTCACCTCCTCTGCCACTCGTGTCACATGACGAGGGTGTGCACCACGCATAACCTCCCCTTGCACAGCACACCGTGAGAGATGTCTGAGGACGTAAGATATGCGCAGCTCTTATGCCCCAGCAGCTCACCGGCGCCTGCTAGTGCTGCACTATGCTCAGTTTTCCCATCAGTGTAGCTGCTGGGCCTGTTTGAATACCTATGAAGCGGCGACCCCAGCTTACACAGTGCATTCAGTGGTCATCATACCTGCACTCTCTGGCGAGCCCTCGCATGCCTTGGGCTTGGACGCAGTGCCATTGTGCTGCGTCTGTGCCTGGTTGGCCACACCGCGCTCAGACAGGAGTAGGCATTTACAGTCGGATGGGGCACTCAGACAGATGCCCCAATATGTCAGTCAGAACCGGAAATCAGGCTGAATTTAGACCTACGTGCTTCTGCAAGAACCGTGTCACAGATGGGGGACGTGCTGCTGTGAGGAGTCCTTAGGAACATTTTTGCCTGTGTCTGACCAAGACGACACATGGCACAGAGGTGTATGTGCTCAGTGTTCAGAGGGTTAGCTGTAATATTTTTTACTACTGCTTCAGGTCTGCTACTTATAGTTGTCACAAAGGGACTTTTGCTAAGTTTTTTTTGTTGTTAGCAGTTATTTTGCACTTAAGTAAACTTTCCCTTTTTTTTTTTTTAAAGACTTCTTAAACATTCCTGTGTGTATTAAATATTTAAATTGCTGAAAAGATTGTCTTGTCTTGAGGATGCTCCCTTGCTAGAATCTCTGAGCAAAGAACAAACACTGCAGTTTCTTATGTCACCTGTTATGACTCAAGTATACTCAGAATGTTTAAGTATAAATTATACTGTATAGTATGTGTTTTTTCAGTGTTATAGTGGTGCAAAGCACCAGCAGTCCCACCAATCAGTAACTCCCTGTTTACATGCATGTGAGTGGGGCAAAGCTTCCATATCCCACTGGGGTGAAGTGATGACTCATTCATCTTAAGAGTTTTTGGTTGTGATTACCCATTTTTAACATAGCGAACACCAAAACTGCTAATGAAACAGGTTGCTGTCAAGTAAATAGCTGCTCAAGTAACATTTTCCTCAAGAGGAGTGGCATTTGGTTTACATGTGATATCTTAGGAAGCAAACTGACCCAAATATTTCACATAGCCATGACTGATACTCAGTAACTGAGTGCCCTACTGTCATTCTGAGTTTTGGGAACTTAGTCAGTGGTGACACAGGGTGGCATAGTGAGTACTTTCCCCTCTCACCCCTGCTGTATGGCCATTGGAGTGGATGGGGCTTTATCAATATGTGTACTTCACATCCCCATCTGATGCTATCTTCCATTGCCAAAGTACAGTTCCAATACTCAGGAGCTGAAGTGTGGGGGACAGTAAAGATCCCCAGATATCAAAGATGAATCGGCTGCATCCTCACCAGCAAAAACATTGCTGTGATTCACTGAACCCCAGGTTCGCTCAGGACAAGTTAGGAAGTCAAGTCACTTGCCAAGAGCACAAGTACGATCTTTGCCGCCTTAGTATAAACAAATTTTTTTTGCTGCTCTTGTATGGTGGGTTTGGTTCCTGGACGGCAGTGTATTGGGCACCATATGATAGGCTGCAGTGACAGTGCACAGGTTCTCTCTGGTTCAATATGACAATCCTGGTAAGTGATCACAAAAAAAGGCAACAAATCAGACTCATACACACTCAAATCTTTAATTCTTTGTACATTCAACACTTAGAGGAAAAATATCAAACTCAAATAAACTATTCATACTAAAATAATTAAAAAATATTAAAACAAATTTTCTAGGACTCCACCCTCAGTGACATGGGGGGGGGGCACTCATTACAGGTCCATTTCCCAAAAAGCATCTGTTTTACAATGCTCACGTTTTGAACATACTGTCAAGTGCATCCCTGCAACAGGTCTGAGAAACACAATGATGCCCTTCCCTCCTCAAAATGGAGGCAGGAGGGAGTGAGAGAAGACGGTGTCACAAAAAAAAAATGCTCATGATCACAGTCTGTCCTGTGGTCACCCTTCATGTCGGCTGACTTGGCATATCGCCTTGCTCACCGACGCCGATCCCTGGTGGGGGGGTTACTGCGGCTGCGTGAGCGCCGACCCCCTGCCAGGATCCCCGCACCACTGCCTCCCACTTTGGCCTCTGGCCCTCTGCTGCGGTGGCTGTCTCGCCGTTTGTCCCCCTCCCTGTCGCGACCCCGGTCCCTCTCCCTCTCACCCGCTGCCCCCGCCCCACTGCCAGGTGCCGCCCCTCCCTCTTTCTCCCTGGCCTTCACCCGCTCCTTGCGCTCCTCCTCCCGCTTCTTGTCTTCCTCCTCCAGCAGCTTCTTCCTTTGCTTCTCTCTCTCCTTCATGCGTTCCGCACGTTCTGCTTCTCTCTGTGCTGCCTGCGGGGCCGAGGGAGAGTGTCACCGATGAATCTCATTGGTTAAACACTGCGTCCACTGGCAGAGGCCATCCAGTGAGGTGCAGTAAACCCATACGTGCAAAGGCGCGGGAGCCACTTGCCTGTTCCTCAGTGAGCGGGAGCCAGTATATACAGGGAGCTGTTTTGGTTTTGCAGAAGAGATCATCTAGCAGCTTGGCTGGAGGCTCCTCAGGGGCTTTTTCTGTAACCATGTGGAGACAATCAGACCACCGAAACCCCCCCAGTACCACAAAGCCAGGCAGTGCCGCAGTGCAGCTCACCCTTCTTATCAGTCTTCCTCTCCTTGCTCTTGGCTCTCTCTTTGCGCCTCCTCTCCCTGTCCCGTGAGCGGGAGCGCCTCGGCCCTCCTTCCCGCTCCTCTCTCGGCTTGCTGAACTCCCGAACCTTGTCGCGGTCCCACTCGCGCTCGGCTCGCGTTCTCTCCCGCCTCTCCATCTCGCGCTCGCGCTCTGCCCACTGATCACGCACCACGGCGGCACCCCGGTCACGCTGCCGCTCAGGCACCAGGGGGGGCAGCGTCCCGGGCCGGGCCACGGGCACCGGGGGGGCAACAGGAGGAACCCCGCGATCCTCCTCAGCACTGCGCTCCACTGTCAAGAGGCCCCTGTGAAAGTCCAGCTGGGGGAGGAAGGCAATGACGACAAGGGCACTCAGTCTGCCTCAGGGATTTTGCAAAAGAAAAACTCAGCTCCAAAGACCACAGGCTTAAGTATCCGCTTCCCAGCTTTTATTTTTACCAGAGATCGTTTGACATTTCTGAGAAATGTCAGGCGAGAGGAAATCAGAGCTGTGAGACACTGAAGGATGGTGGATGGATGGAAAAATAAAATAATCATGAGAAACACAAGCCTCACCTCGTCCTGCTCAGCGAAGTCCACACTCAGGAACTTGGGGTTGCTCTGGGGCCACTTAACTCCATGCAGGGCCGTGCGAGTGGCGGCCGCCGCCTCTGTGCTGGGGTACTGCGAACAGGGAGAACACCCACTATTCTCTCGGACTTCTCTTTCTCCCCTATTAAAAGCTGTTACATTAGTATGCAAAAGCTGATCTCTTTGCCACACAGAAAATCGATGGAAGCATTTCCCCAAGCATGCCACCGACTGAATAATGTCCAGCAGCACACTAATGAAACATGAATTATGGTGCAGGAAAACGGCAAGAGACTCACTGTCACATAGCAGTGGGACTTGATCTTGTCTATCCAGAAGCCCTCCTCCACCACACTGCCAGTTCGGTTTAGCAGCTCTTTCAGCTGTCCCAGGGTGAAAGGTCGTACCTGTGCAACAGAGGTCAGGGTTCACAACAGCACCAGATGTAAACAGTTCTGCAAGGTGATTGTGGGCTGGTAGTGGGCAGGCCAGCAACGAAGCAAATCATCCTCACCAAGTTACAGATATGGACAATGTTTGTGATTTTGCCACGGGGCGGCGAGGGCTGCTTGGTGGTTCGGACTGGATCGTCGATGGTGATGGACACCCCAGACTTTTGCTGGCTAATCGAGCGACGCACCAACGAGTCGCTGGGAATCACTGTAAAAACATCAGTGGTGGGAAAATGAGAACAGCATCCACATGCTCAATAGGCCTAATACAAAGTCCACAGCAGGCACAGAAATCCCACCAGCTCGGTGGGGCTGAATTTCCAGTTGCCCTTTGAGTATGTATGCATAAGAAAACCTATTTTCTGAATGGCTTGATCTATCACCATCTATAGTACACCAACATATTGTTAGTATTCAACTTTTTCAGCACTTTTACATCAATGAATTCCACAATATATAGACGCTCCTCTACTTATGAATGAGTTACGTTCGTAACTTGAAACATTCATAAGTCGTTATTCAACATCATTTTAAGGGTATACGCAAGTACAAAGAACTAGGATGCTGGGAGTTCGCACGCTATGCTGTTGCGTGCCGGCCAGAAGTCGTACTAGGCGGAATTGGCGGACAGGAAAAAAAATTTGATTTTGCGGACAGGAAACAGGAGCCCAAGGAACACAATCTGGACTTACAGTCCTCTTCGGTGGTACATCTGAAAGTTCGTAAGTAGAGGAGCGTCTGTGTTTTAATGAAAACCAAATTGGCAGAAAGACAGGTAACTAAGTATGGTGTCTACAGGTATCTGGCTTAAGATGGTCCAAGTGGGTATGGAATTAATAAAACCAAACAAAACTGAAAACCACCTTTCTTTAAGTCAGCCTCCCGAACACTAGGTGCTTGTGTTTCCATGGAAACCTCTGAGGAGCCATCTTTGCCCTCTTCAACGACTGTCCTAGCACTTTCTGACCGCTCATCTTCCTCTTCCTCCTCCTGATCCTTCTGACCATTCTCCTGGTTCTCAGCTGGTACCACCTGAAAGTGGAAATTGTAGGTCGTTTACAGATGACCCATGAATATTATCACCACTGAACGGCCCACAGCCAACAGTGACTGACTGCAATTACTATTTTTGCAAGGCATCATCCAGCAAAGGTAAGATGCAAGTCAGGTGAGATGTTCACAAAACAAATGTGAATCAGTCAGTAAATCTGAAAGCTGTGGGAGTTTCAACTGCATCATAGATCTGTAACATATCTGAAAGGCATGAGACATACAGTACATATAATCTGAAGGACCAAGGTGTACCAAGCAACATACCTGTGTTACAGTGCGGCGTATCTTAAGACCTTTATCCAGACCTTGGTCTCCCTGGTCACCCCGCTCCACACCCTCCTCATCTCCTGACAAGTGGCCTTCATCGGGGTGCAGTTCCACTATTGCCTCCTGGCTTCCTGCACCCGTGGCTGGCTTGATGTCTGGGATCAGTGACTGGGGTAGAGAATGCTGATTAGCAGAATCATCTTTAACGCTAAATATAAAAGTGAGCAGTGATTTAATATCGCATGCTTGCCCTGATGTATTAGAGCACCAATGTGGAAGCCATGTACCTTTAGGGAGTCAGTGGTGATGCTGATCGATGGCTTCTTGGCTGTCACTGCAGTACTAGATCCCCATCTCCTCTTTCTGGCTGCTGGACCACCAGACTCTGGCTCTAGAGGACCCCCCGGAGAGGGCAGTGTGGGGGTGGTCCCCCCGACACTGGCCACGGAGGGCTTACTAGCTGCTGAGAGACAAAGATGGATAAGCATAGACATTTTCCAGCTTCTAGCTTTATCAGAACAAGCAAACCACATATGGCAAGAGAGGGGACATAAACAAGCAGAAGCCAAGGAATTCTTTTAGAACATTAAAGCATGAACATTGACATCTTCAACAGGAAGTACAGAAAGCAGAGGAACTTGCAGGCTCAGCTGAAACAATCTCCATTTGTTCTGTTTACTATACGGAGACTAAGACGAGTGTGACGAGCTGGCAGGCATACTCACTGTTCAATGAAATCTTGCGGGCAGTAAATGCTTTTGGTGTGGTACTCTGAAACAAAGAACAGATAAAACAAAAAGACCCCGGAGTGGGGGGAGAAATGAGAGCGAGAACAACAGGGAGGAACCGGGCAAATGGACAAAGACGGTGAGAGAGAAAGAGCGTACAGCTATCAATAAATGCGCAGAGAGAAGGGGCACTGGGGTGGGGGCTGAATCAGAGCTGCAGTGATTCCAGGCACACGTTCCTCCCAGGCAAACACTCCATGTTTCTCAGCCTGCTGTCAACAAAATATAAGCCTCTGCGCTGCCTCAACATGTGCATCTACAGCTGAGTGACGGCACATAATCACCGCGAGTATGCAAATATTCCTGCTCGGGTCGTGTTCACAGAGCACGTCCGACATTAAATGAGACATGAATATGGGCATTTACAGTGCAAAATAACCAGCATTTTAAATGTGCATTAAGCCCCTGTCTTCTCTTTCAAAAACAGCAAAAGCTAAAGTGTCAGGATTATGTAAAACGGTGCAGCACGACTAATGTGTGAGTGAATCTACAGCGTAATGTTGGATGTCTGTAGTGTGAGTTTTCAGAATCTCATAAACCCTACAAGAAGTGGTCAACTGGAGAGTGATATATCAAAACACCTGGGAGGAAGGATGAGGCACTAGAACAACTGTCGCTCTGGTGACAAGCATCAGACAGGGTACTGCAGTTCAAATTCAAGAAATGATTCAATGAGGTACCCAGGTCACCAGACTCTGCTGAGGTTACGAGCAGGTCCACATAAAACATAGAAATCAATGTGGAGTTTATCAATATGCACTTATAGTTAAATTAAAACTGCAGTAACCATAATTTTTATACTATCCGTTATGTTTAACATATTGCAGTTCCCTTTATTTTTGTAGCAAAGGTCTTTATCAATTAAGTATATATTTTAAAAGGCAAACAGTAAAAGGAGATAAAATGACAAAGTTATTTCCTGATACCATTGACACCTGATCCTCACTTGCTTGGCTATGGCCCAATCGCATGGCTGTGTGTACTGTATCTAGCCAACAAGCGTCCAATCAGAGGTAGTTGAGGAGTGAGGGCAGGACTCTGAGTATGCTGACAGGCCGTCTGACAGGAACTGCTCTTTTGTTTTTGAGGGGTTGGAATGTTCACAATTAACTGGCTTTTGTAAATATCTTCTCATTTTGCAAGCAACAGGCAAGTCTTATTTGAGGAAGAGGTGGTGTTAAAATGTTCTGCACCCACCCAAACCCCAATATGGGCACGTGTCAGTCTTTACTGTCCCTTTGACTTCATATGCGCTGCAGTTACATGAGATCAGTCTGATGAACTGGGCTGTGTTCAAACAGGCCCATGCTGTGGCGCACTGTGCCCTGTCCCAATTCCTTCATCATCACCCGGTCAGTCTTTCGTTCTCAGAGAAGACTGCACCCTTGCCTCCACATTCCTCACACACTGGCACTTTTGTCGCAGCAGGTTTACAAGCTGTTAGTGGGATCCAGTGCAACTGAAAGCCCAGTTTTAGAAAAGGTCAGGCTGTGGATATGAAAAAAATCCAAACAAAAAATTACTCCATGATAACCATGATTAGCAGGCAGATGGACCATTCAGAAAGTCGCCCGTTTGTAAAAAGCTGTGAGGCCCGGGGTTGGGGCCACTCTGAAGCTTCTGAAGAGGGAAAACAACAAACGGGAGTACAGAGGGAATGTCCTGGTAGATTACCTTCTATCTGGACAACGTGGATAGACAGGAAAAAGTCCATCTGTACACTTGAAGAGATCATACTTTAGCCACACGGCCCAATGAATTCTTCAGTTTATTTGTTGTGGCTGAGGATATACTCAAATTCTTCTTTCCCTTGCTATTCCAGTACAAGGAAGGCGACACTTTCCTCACACCTCAGGTCCATCAGCAGTATTCCATTATGCCAGTTTTTCTGGTTACCAGTCCAGTATGAGCCAAACCTCCAGCTGGATTGGTCAGGGTATTGCTTTGGTCTCTCACTGCACTGAGCCAACAGTAGTCCAACAAGTACTGACAGTTGTAATCCAGTGATAGTGGAGATAATTGTTCAAATGCCGGAGCCAGTTCAGCTAAAGAGCTACGCTCCAGAGCTACAGAAGCCCACACACAGTCGGGCAGAATTTCCCAGAACATTTTCTTGTAAAGACCCCAAAAACTGAGCTAAAACAAATTAGCTTCACATTAATTCCTTTAGAAACTGATGGAATTCGACGGGGTTAGTGCTGCTTGGTAACCCTTTCAGTCCAGAGATGTCAACTGTCCAAACTGCGATGGAAAAGTCCATTTGTAAATCCCTGGCATGGCAGAAACCATGGCATACACTTTCCAAAATATAGCAAAAGCCAGGTGCTGCTGGAATGATCAGATGTGTGGGGCTCTGGTCCAGGAGAGGCAAATGCACAGTTCACATGACACTCAGCAAAGGCTGATGCTGCTGCCCCACAAGTGCTTTCCTGCAGTGTGCAGAGAGCAGGATTTCTTGCATGCCATGCAAGAGGCTGCACTGGGAAGGCCCCCCTCGACAACAGGCAGCACTTCCCTTTCACAGGAGTCCAGCTGCCAGCTCCTGCTCGCTCGCTGTGCAGCGTGGGCTCAGCCCAGATGAGTTCCGGCAGCCTCCCTCGGCCGTGGTGCTTGGGACCTTGCAGATAAACTCAGTGCAGACTCAGGGGCCTAGATCAGGTACAGCCAAGTCGCTTGGGTATAGCGGAACAGGTGTAGTAGGTGAAGTAGCAGAGGTAGTGCGCAGGTACCAATTGGGGCAATGGAAGAGGCATGAGCACCTTACAACAAAGCAATCAATGGGGTTTTAAACATCAGCCACAGGAAAAAAATAGTACAGATTTAGAGTCCTACGGAATAACCCCATCATGACTAAAACAGCTTTCAGGCCTAACTTCACATTTCTTAAGTTACACACACTCTCTAGCATATATACTCTTTTACAGGATGGGTCACAAAACACAAATCAGGGCCACGCCACCCCCCACCCACTGCTCCTCTCCCATGAGGCATCCATCTGAGCTAAGGAAGGGCAGACTTAAAATGGCATCAGAGATTTGAATGCATTAGCAATCACAGCTGAAGTAATCTCCCCACCCCACTTTACTAAGGCCAGCAGAGACAAGGCAACATCTGACACAACACTGCAGCTAATCTGGATTGTTTTTGTGAATATCGTCAATGAATTCTGCCCACCTTGTGAAATCCCTCACTATCTATATAGTCATACAGAATATTAAAAATGAGAGAACTCTGCTTCTGCCTAACAGCCGAATGTGTAGGTTTTTGTTGGTGTGTGGGAGGCCTCCTGGTTATGCAAGACAAGAAAAAGTTGTAAATTTAACAGAGAAAGAAAAAAAGGAAAAGGTGGTGAATATGAAAGAAAGACAAAGGCTGCATGGAAGAGATGGAACAAATGTTTCCCTTTTGCCGAATGGCTTATAGTTCAGCACAGTTATCCTCCCATTAAATATTGCTAAAGCAATAAAATGAAAAACATTGTGGCTACATGTTCTGCCAAACTGTGTGGTTCCTATTAAGGTTTCAATTCAAAGGCCACAAAAAATTATTTTAACTGTCTGCCTTTCTATGGAGCTTTGTGTACAATTTCCCTCGCTTCTCCAAACACATGCAAGCACACAGCCCCGGACATAGTAACTTTTGGCCACACCTAATACCACTTCAACCACTGGAGGCCTTGTCTGACTGCAGTGTCACAGTTCTGTCTGTTGCAGATAGATTCAAAGCTCTTCTGGAGGACCCATTATACACAGCTGGATATTCAAACCGAACTCAGCCACATGCTTGCCTGCCTCTCCACAGCCTTACCTCCTCTGAGCGGCTCTCTGCGGCCCCATGGCCATCTGAGCGAGGCTGCACCCCTGCACCCTCAGACTCCAAGGGTGCCTCCACCTGCACTGCAGTGTCAGCTGGCTCTGACATGGCAGCCTGCTTCAACTCCCTGGCAGGAGGACACAGAGAAAGCAGGAGATTGCAGACGGCGAGTACAAATGATTACAGTTTGAGCAAACAAAGAACCAATGCACAGGAGGCGGCGGCATGGGCAGGAAGGAAGAGCCATCCATCCATCTGTCCATCAATTGCTTATCCAGTACAGGGTCAAGGGAGGGCGACAAGACTGTCACAGGCAGGACAAAGTGCAATGCTGAGGTAGACCCTGGACAGGATGCACACACACTGCAATTTGCCTAACTGCATGTTTTATAAACGCAGGTGGGGCCAACACAGGAAGATCATGTGAAGCTGCAATACTACCCACTAAGCGACCATGCCAGCCCAGAAGGATACAGCATAACATGTATACACACACTGATATTCTTTTCTTACACTGTCCAACACGTCGACAAACCAATGCTTAGGTCACAGAAAAATGTTTGCTATTTACTATAAAAGCATTGGGGCACACATATGCAAGTATACAGAGTGCAAGGACAGTAAAGGGAACAGGGACGACCCGGCAGCTGAGACTGAGTGTGTGTGTAAACCAAGATCCAGAAAGGCAAAGACACACAGAAAAGAAAAACAAAAAAGAATGGAACCAGAGAGCAGAGGAAGAGAGCAACTCAGACCAGGGATCTGGGTCATTCCACCTCAACACACTATAAATAACCATATCAGCCAGCCAACCGGCACCAGACTTACACTATGTATACACATGCTTTAAGCGAGCTATACAACCATGGAAAAGGCCTGGGAACGGAGACCACCACTCACCAATCAAAGGTCCATCTTCTGTTTAACAGGACTAGTCACACACACAATACTCAGAATTTCAAAATCAGGCTTCTCACTGCTGCAAACAAATCAATTAACCTAGCACTGGAACTGAAACTTTGGAAATCGATGCAACCTAACAAGAAGCCCAGCAATTTTGTTTGGTCTCTCATACAGCGATCATACTCCCTGGCCCTGGGGGTGGAGGGTGTAGCAAAGATGAGAGGATCAGGCTGGGTCTGTGAGCCAAGGAAAAAAACAAACTGTCCATCTCAGGGGATTAATTACAGAAAAGGGAGGCAAGATGAGCCATTTCAGGGAGTCTCCTGTAAATGATACTTCCCCTTCCATTGTGTCAAAGCAAGAACAACATCCATGAGCAACTGGAAACTACTATACACTAGATGCATGGTCTATGGTGTTAATACACAACCATGGATAGAAATAAACATCTATGCCGTGCAGAATCCCGATACAAATGTTATGCATTTATAAGTAATGTTTCCCGGCATCTTTCAGCCATTATGGCCAGAAAAAAAGGTGGTGGGGGGGGGGAGGGGAGTAAGATATCTCCTTCACATGGTGCACAATAAGACAGAGGTGGCCATGTCACTGGAGACAGGACTAAAGAACTTCAAGAGAACACAAACCCATATCAATCAAACAAAGGCTGGGCCCCCTTAAATGCTGGGATTAAGGACTCTGCTTCTTAAAACAAAACCAGATGCACACAAGTGCTAAACATATCGAAATATTTTGATTTCAGCCAAAGTTAAGTGTTAGTTAAATTTGGTTGCATGGGGAATCTTGACAATCTGAAAGAAGACACCGGCTGCACAGTGCTCACTTTGCCTGGTCTGATAAAATCTGGAACCATGGCACAACACCATGAATGTGGCCAAATAAATTATTTTTCTGAAGAAATTTTGCAAATTATTTCCTGAAAATCCTTAAGTAGAAAACAATATTAAATATTTGCAGTTCAAATTGCTGTTTACACCCAAAACTGGAAGAAAATGTAAGCAGTGCACAGCCCAGACCACTGGTAACACCCTTATTTCCACAACTCTCCGATGCTATAAAGTGCCATAAGACTGAAAGGACTGGAATGTCAAGCCTTGGGTGTCACACCAGCACACCACCACCCGGAACAGAAAACTCTCATACTCCCCAGCTATGAAAAGTGGTTCAGCTCGACTTGCTCACTTTTCCGATCGCTGAAACGTGAAACTTAGGAGAGGATTCTGAAGAACAGTTCTCTACAAATCTCTCTCACAGGAATTTAGTGCTAAAAGACTAGGATTTTCCATTAGCAAGTCTTATATTTCACTTGCACGGGGAATACAATGCTGAAGAAACAAACTAGCAGTTTTAAGAGCAAAGACAATGAAGAGTGGCATGATACTGACTAAAAAGACTACAGCACTGGCCAAGGGCCATTAAAACATACTTCCAGGTTTCAGATTACTCAGAATGCACACTTAGCATTAATTTAGCGACAACAGCCTGTTGTTCATAGCCATGCGTTAATAGTATTTTAATAGTTCTTTCAGATCCATTATCGTCAGCGGAAAATATCCCAGTAATCATTGCTGGAAATGCGTACATAATTGAAAATATAAAATTAATGCTACAACACCACGTCGCACTGAAGCAGCACAGCAAGAACACGCATCTCACGGCCTTCCGCGGGGCACAGACACCAGCAGTTCTCAAGGAATACCGGTGACCCCCCTTCCAGGCATCTCCCCTTCCCCCAACCCCCCCCGCCCAAACCCATACGTTCTCTCACACACACATAAATGCGCCACGTTACCGGCGACAAAAATAAATCCGTCAGAAAATAAAGTACACGGGACGGCTGCGACAAAAGGACGTTCAAACCAGAAAAAGTAGAGAACTGCAGGTAGCCACGGACGAAGGGAGACGTCGTTTGTGCGCTGTATCTCCCTCACCTCCTACCTCGCCAGCTTACCCGTTTTTGTTGCTTTCAGACAGCATATTATCTGGCCCAAACTCTAAACCGTAACGTACGGCCAGAATCTGCGCCTCCAGCTAAAGCGACTGCGGTTCTGCTCGAGAATAATTACTCCTGTTTGGGTAGCGGGATTGTAGGCTGCGCTGGTATCAGTGCGAGCGAACACGCACGACGGCCATATTGGATAAAGCTAGAGAAGGTCTGAGGAAAAGGAGAGCAAGAGGGCGAGGACCCCATCTCCTCTCAGCCACACCGGCAATGAGGCCGGCCTCACAGAACGCCTGACGATAAATACCACCGCGGAACTAATACGCACCGCGTTACTATCACTCTACTATACGTGTTTATTAACTAAAAGCGGAATTTTAAAATGAGATCGAAAATATGCCACGTGACCAGAAAAACTTATCCATAGTGAAGAAACGCACATCACGGGTAAAACAGCTGCACAGCAAATGTGTATCGAGCACACCACCTTAGACAGTACATCCATTACGTCCAAATATAGGAAAGATTTATTTTAAAAATTTCGTTATGACGACAGTTTCTAGGTTTAAAGTAACCAGATTAATGTCGGATATAAAATAATTCCCTTTTCCATATTTGTCCCCTTGTATTAAGGCTTCTTGAAGAAGCCCATGTTCATTACATCAGGACAGAGTGATTTAAGAAAATGTGTCCGCTTTTCATTTCCATTTATTTTCCGAATGCTTAAATTAATTCACGTGAACTCGTGAAACGGAGCAATTCATTTTCACACTGATGCATTGAAGTCTCCTCCCCCCGAGAGTAAGTTTCTCTATCGATTAATTTTATCCTTACGTGTAACGATGAGGTATATTCTCGAAAAACTGAGGAAAACACCGAAATGGTTTATGACGTTAAAAATTGCACCCAAAATAATCCTAATGTGTTTCGATTGATCACTCAGAGGGGTCCATTGCTCGTGCAATTATTCGTTAGTAGATGGGATTAGTTGTAACTGTCAGTTCCTAGAAGTCAGGGCCCGTACTCACATCTTAAAGCTAAAAGTAGCTCCCAACTTTGCAATTTAGGAGAAACTGTTAAAAATAATGGGCGTGTCAATCCTAAATGTTGGACTCCAAATTTTTGACTAATTTACAAAATACCTTAGCGCTAAAACTAGCACCTAAATCTGGGAGAACTAAAAAGTAGTCGGGAGGACCGATGCACAAAGTCGCAAAATGGCTGCTGTCAATCCACGTCGCAATGTCAAGGAAATATTAAACAAATGCTGAATTACTTAAAGGATATCGCCTCAGTCGGGAGGGAGTAATTACTGTTATGGAGCTTGTGAGGGATGTAATTACTATCTCCAACAAACCGAAAAAAAAACAGTCATATACAGTACAAAACACTAATAGTGATAACAAATTTTCTTCTTTTTGTGTTTCAGGTAGATCACAATCTAATTGAAATTTTTATGTTTATTACATGAGTATAATGTAATAAAAAGAATGTCGCTATATACTGGATTTTATTGACTAGTACAAAATACAGTACAGCTGTTTCGAAAGTTTTCCAAATTACTTAACTGTGCATAATTCAAATACGCTATACTACAATACATGAAATATATCTGAATATAGTTTCGCTGCCATCTCTCGTTGGCTCAGTTTTGGCAGTTTCTCATAAGCTTTGATTAGTGCAGGGGTCTCCAACTCTGGTCCTGGAGAGCTACCGTCCAGTAGGTTTTCTATCATACCTGGCTTCCGATGAGCCACATCTGTTCTCAGGTAAATAACAGGAACAGGTGTGGCTCATCAGAAGCCAAGTGGGACAGAAAACCGACTTGATAGTAGCTCTCCAGGACCAGAGTTGGAGACCCCTGGATTAGTGTATTTGTCATTGAGGGAAAATGACCATTTTCCCCGTCATATGTTCTATGCACGCAGTATTAGCCTCAGTTAGCTAACCAGAAGCAGACGAGTTACCTGCAAGGCAAAGTAGAGCGATCAAAGTTTATACACACACAGAGGAATGAGGAATGATTCTGTCCCAAGCTTTTTGACACATATAAGCAGTTGATCTCCAGTAGCATGATCACTATAAGTGTTTTCCACTGCAGTTGTGTTTATGGGATGTTGCGTGTACATTTTCACCAGCACATACTGGCCTCTCATCAACCAATCCCCGTGATTATTGCAGGCAAGCTCGTGCATGTCAAAGCAACAGTCTTGGCTTAGGAGTTGACTATTTTCCTAACTACAAGTTTCTCTCAGCCACTC